CGACGATCGAGAACACTTTGGCACCTCTCAACTTCGGGGTGATCTCCTCAATGGTGGAGACCACGTGGTGCTCTCGCAGGATGGCGTGATTGAGGTCCTTGGGGTCTAGGCACAGGCGTAGCTTGCCATTGTCTTTGAGGCGGAACACGAGGCTGTTCACCCATGCTGTTGGTTCGCCTTCCTGGATCTTGGTGATGATGCCGTTCTGGATCATGTCCTCCAGCTCCGTCTTGATCTCGTCTCTCAGTGCGATGGCGTGGAGGTGGCGTGGAGGGTGTACAACCGGGACGACGTTGGGGTCCACTGTGATGTGGTACTTGCCTGGGAATTTCCCAATGCCATCGAAGCACTTCGGGTATTGCTTCATCAGGTCGTCCTTGTCTCGGATGCTCGCTGGCTTCTCCTGGACAGCGCAGTTCAGCGTGACTAACTGCAGGGCTGTCGCTGTCGGGAGGCCGATGATAGCAGTGCCAGGGCAGTCCGTGATGTAGAAGTCAGCGAGTTGACTCTTGCCATCGTAAGAGCACGGAATAGGACGGGTTCCGCATTGCTTTATCTTGGATCCGCCGTACGCTGTGAGGGTGGTACTTGACGGCTTCACGGACTTCGGCTTTGGGTATCCGTTTGGTCCGACGTGCTGGGGAAACATTTGGCAGAACACTCTCAGCGGCAATATATTGCCCTGGGCGCCCGTATCCACCTTGGCTCTCAAGGTGGCCGGTCTGTTGGTGTTGTCCAGTCTGACATTGAGGGTCGCGAACACCTCTCGCTCTAGTGGCGGTTGGTGACGCTCGACGCTGTCGATGATGACGGCGTCGAAATGCAGTGCGTCGAAGCGTCTCCGTGGGCTGGGGCTCCTCTGGGGGTAGCGCTCCCGCGGGCTGGGGCTCCTCTGGCGCCAGCGTCCGCGTTGCTGGCCCCTTCCATGTGCCTCGTCTCTCCCCTGCGAACGGCATACGTTTGCCCAGTGATTCGCCTTCCCGCATTTGTTGCAGGTGGAGCCGTGCGCTGGGCACTTGCTTGGGTGGTGGGTTCGTCCACATTTGCCGCAGTCTGCGTGTCCCACAGATTTGGAAATGGCGTGAACCGTTTCAGGTAGACGGCTGCTGCTGGTGGCGGTGGACAGCTGCTCCATGTGGCGCTGTGTTGCTTCATAAGTACGGGCCTTGTCAAGCGCTTCGTCCAGAGTCAAATCACTACCACCCTCCAGCAGGCGTTCTTGCACTTTCGAGTGCTTCGTCCCCACGATTAGCTGTTCTATCAGGCGATCGTTAGTCTCCTGAGCGTCCCTGAACTTGCACTTGGACGTCTTCTTCTTACACCTCGCAAAGAAATCATCTACAGACTCGTCGGGTTGCTGGCGGTATTTCTGAAGCTCAAACCGAGCCAGTCGTGCATTTACCCGTGGCTGCAAATGCTTATTAAATTTCTTGAAGACGGCAGCTACTTTGGATTTGTCGCTTGCATTATCCCACTCGAAACTATTGAAAGCATCAACACCAGTTCTCCCGATCCATAGCATGACATAGGCGACCTTTTCCTTGTCGGACTTGTCGGAAAAGGGCCCTTGGAAAACTAGAAGGCAGTATTGTTGGAACCGCTCGAATTCATCAGGTAAATCTGCGGCTTGCCAATCCATCGACGGCGGGGTAAATCCGGCTGCTTCTGCCATTTTACCTCTTGCACCGGTGGCGCTACTGCGACAATTCTAGGGCGTTTATTTAGTTTACTTCTGACACCATGTTTCGGGGTAAACAAGTTAGTTGTTTACGATAGGATTATATTCTCACTTGGCCATTGTAGGCAAATCATAAGAACCACGACATCTAAAGGATGCTGCATGAAAGTAGGCAGCTGCGAGATGCGTATCTCGCGCATGCTCTTGCATGGCTACGTAATGCATTACATCATAATACAACAAGTACTGATAAATTGATAATGCAGGCCAAGCAGAGAGGAACGCAAAGCAGACAATCACCTCTACATTGTAATCTTGTACAAAAGTACATGTAGCTTCATAAGCAGAAAACGAGATATTGTGAGCGTGACAGACAGACTCACACCCCCCCCCCCCCCCCCCCCCAGACTAGGGTCCGGCGGATTCTGCCGGCAGAAAAATTGGCAGAATTCGGTACTTTCTCTGGTAAGTTTCATGCATGTTTGGTATGTGGATAAAGAAATGGAGCAGAATTCGAGGAATTGCCCGCCATAAGGTTTGTATGGTTCTGCCAATTTCACTGCTTTTCGAGCAGAATCTGCCACCTTTTCGAGCAGAATCCGCCGGTCCCTACCACAGACACACACCACGAGACCATAAATCTGAAACGGCATGCATTTTGACACACACACGCACACATGCACACACACACACACACAGTCACACACAACACACACACACACACACACACACACACACACCACGAGATCATACATCTGAAACGGCATGCGTTTCGAAGGGCTTTAGAAGGCCACGAGTTAGGTGATCCACATCAAGGCAATACGCACCACCAGCCCAGCTACATGTACCGATATCTCATACTAGACAGCAACTGAACGCGGCACACATACTACACACAAGAGCGCGTACAACGGCAACTTTCTCCTTATGCTTACGGTTGTCGAATACAGCATTGACGACACACCGAGACACACAGAGGAACACAAACCAGGGTCTACAATGTACACACATACATGTACATGTGCATGCACAATGTACATGTACATGTATACACAGCTATGCGTTTGCGTGTTTTCATGCTCCCTTCAAAGGTTTATGTATACGGCACGTATGATTTTTATGTTGCTTGAGTACGCCCACTTTGAAGGTCGAAGTTGGATTATACAGGGCGTGAACAGGTGAGATTTTCATGTCTAGCTGTAAATTACCCTTACCTTAGCCCACCAAGGAAATCGGAATAATCAAACTCGATGGTGCTCCAACTTCATTTAAAATAAAAAAAATAAAAAAAATTATCGTATCCGTTCCCGAAGGGAACTCACGACGGCCGCTAACACCCGATAAACCCTAGCGGCAGATAGACTCGATGGTGCTCCAACTTCATTTCGACGTAGAAAACTCGCTGTTTGAACAGCTCAATTTCAAAGGGTAACCACTGATTTCGATGTGAAAAACGTTTCCTGATCGCCATAACAAAATTCCTGCCGACACACACCATAACAAGCTCCAAGTTCACAAACAGTGGCCACAAACGGTTGATCGTCATGAAGGTGGTTCGACACTTTCGACCAAATTCGTTCACTTCCGTATTCAGTTGACAATTATTTTTGCCGTCATCAAGACTTATTTGGGCCCAAAAGCGCAAAAATCAGTGTTAAGCGGGATTCACAGAAGCTTTTTTGTGATGCGACACGCGATGCGACAGGCGCGAAACCGGGGAAACCCCAAATCGCAGCCATGTCGCGGCCCCCGCAACTGCCGCAACTGGGCCATCGCAGGCTGTCGCAGAAGTTAGTGGCAGAGATATGTTTTTTGCACGCTTGAGGATGGACTGTGCCAGGACAAAATCATGTCACCGAAATTTCACTGGGATTCACTGTGGATCGACATGATTTTGGACGAACTCAGGGACACATGCGTGGAAACTCGTGTTCCCCCGCATGTCCGGTTGTCTGCAGCCCTGGAGTGCCTGGACAAGGTTTCCTCTCTTTGTGCTCAATCTCAGTCATATGAAGTCTGGACAGATGGTAGTGTCACTGATGAGGGTACAGGAGGAAGTGGCTATCTTGTCATCAAAGTCACTGATGGCCAACGCTCTGAAGTGTGCAGTGGAAGCGATCCTGCAGGCGTGGTAGCAACTTCCTTCACCGCCGAGGTAACTGCAGCAGTGGCCGGTCTCTCTGCGGCAGGAGATCTACTTACGGCTGGCCTCACCAACACAGATGATCAACCCTCGCTGCCAGACCTCATCCTCGTTACGGACAGTCGTTCGTTGACTGATTCTGTTGCCGGCGATCCGTACCGTATGAGCCCAGATACGATTCCTGTGTTTGAGGCTATCAAGAGCATTAGCCAGCTTGTTACCAGCATCCACCTTGTCTGGGTTAGCAGTCACTGTGGCTTATTCCTCAATGACAAAGTAGATCGCCTGGCTGCGGCTGGTACCCAGGTTCCCCAGGGTCATGTCCGTCTTCCAGTGCAAGCCACCAAGACTGCAGTTCGCAAGGCAACACGGTACCCGCCACCACTGCTCGACACCAAGAAGCTCGGTGACCTTCGGACACGGAAAGCGTCCTGCAAGCTGAACCAGCTGATGACCGGCCACTGTAGTCTTCTGAATGGCTACCTCCACCGCATTGGAGCTGCAGACTCGCCTCACTGTGTCTTCTGCCCTGGCGTAGTCGAGGATGCAATGCACTTCCTTTTCGACTGCCCAGGAAGAGCACAAAGCCGCCACTCTGCAGCTCTTCAGTCGTCTTCATCCGTCAGTCAAGCTGTAGCCGACTCTCCCTACAACGCACGATTCTTGCAGTTGGAGAAACTGCTATGAAGTTTCGAACACAGTCTTGAAACACGATACATGATGAATTGCTGCTATTATTATGTGAACTCTCATTACTGCGGTATTACCTTCCACATAGTCATTAGTCTAGCATGGCGTCATATATTTGTCTCAATTCAGTGTTTTCCGAAGAATAAAAAAAAAAAAAAAAAACTCGTGTTGAGAAATCGACCCTGCGATATTTTTAGGAAACGTTGTACGGGAAGTTGATAAAATGCACGTTTTGCCGAGCAAAATATCGAGTTTCTAATGCCAGGCCCGGCAAAATATCGAAGATTTCGCAGGCGAGCGGAGATATGCAGAATCTGTCTGGGCCTTCGAGGCGTACCAAGTCACGTGTGTGTACCAATACCGTACTCAACTATGTAACCATTGGTAACCGTTGACGCAATGGGAACGTGAAGCGCCCGATCCGAACGTTATTATTACGTGAAGGCGGCCGCGATACGCGATCGGGAAAAGAGAAAAGAACAAAATATTTTTTCCCTTTTCAGGTTTGCAAGAGATGAGAATTTCTTGATCATAACATATACTGCAGTATTATGCCTTTGCTCGAAAGGTCGTGCGACGATGAATTAGGAATCAATTTATACTAGTACTAATCCGTAGTAGCATTTAGTCATGGCGGCGGGTCCAATCACGGAAAGAAACCAAGGTACACTCGAGCAAATATTCAAAACTATGGCCACTAGATCTTGACTGGAGAACTTTTTGCTTGTGTGGGTGCGTATGTTCAGATGCGACAATATACGTCGGTGGCCTTGATGAAAAGGCGTCTGAAACCTTGTTATGGGAGCTATTTGTTCAAGCTGGCCCAGTCGGTAAGGCACAATTTAAAAAAAGAAAAAGAAAAAAAGAAGACCTGAGGTCACTAAAATGTTGTCATGCTACTTTTGCACAGCACTACATAATTATTTACATTAAAGTATTGTACATGTAGTTTATACTGTAATGCCGTATGCACTGACTGGGCACGTACATTCAAATGTGTCATTGCATTTCGTAATGCAATGTAATCCATGTAGATGAACTTTCCCTGGTCAGACATGCACTTGCCTGGCACCGGCCCTTTTTCAAGTCTCGCAGGCTTCGTCCATTTCTAAAGCGCATTTGGACAAGATGTACACGTACAGCTCGAGTACTAATTACCAATTCCTGTTTTCACGGGTTGCGTTTTATCAGAGTTCTACTGTATTGTGCTTGCCAGCCCAGTGCAGTAGGGACATGATCATCTCAATTGCCACCGGCAACATGGAAGTGTCACGGCGTAGCTTTTCAGCCCCCAAACAGCATTAATATTAGTGACCAGTGGTATCAAGAGTACATAACCCCCCAGATTGTGCAACGCCTGATCCAGCTCTGCATAGGGTCTTAAAAATCACCGTTCGCATGAGACTCGGCCAAATGCCCAGTTTTCGGATCTTCTGATGTCATGCGTACACTCCACACCAGCGCAAGGTCGGTCTCGAGGCAGGGCACCGTTGTTTTTGATCCAAGAGTACCCGTGACTCCCCGCGTTCCCCTCAGATGTGTACGGTACTATGACGCAAAGACCCGATTACGCTCGACCAAGACCCTATGCAGAGCTGGATCAGGCGTTGCACATTCTGGGGGGGGGGGGGGGGGTATATACTCTTGGTGGCATTGTGGTGTTGGGCACTGCTCTCAACTACAGCAAAGAATACAAAAAAACTGTATTTGGACACATCCCTATTTAGGACACGCTTGCTCAGTCCAACTGTTCCTAATCCAATCAGGTTATAACACGTTCTGTACCCAGGACGCCTAGTAGTAGTACTGGTCAGATGCGCTTCGTCCCCAGGGTGGTGGCCCCGAGGGTTTTATGTTGGTAAGGGACAACCTGTACTTTTCGGGCGGAATGCAGCACATTGCAGTCGACTCCGCTTACAATGAACTCGGCTGTAGCAAATTCCGTGATATAGTGAACCATTGTCCAGGTCCTAGGTTGAGCTCGCGCAGGTAGGTCTCCTTTGGGGTGTGCGTGTATATCGGCTGTGCAACAGCTTTGAACGAGTGATGCAAGGTGCCCACATCCTAGCGGCAAAAGCTCGTCGGGACAACCCGGCCTTTGTAGCAGTGGCTCAACAGAATATTTAAATGTGCTTTAAAAATTAAAAAATTAAACAAATACTACTGTAGTAGGTGTGCACCTGTAGTGTAGGCGTGCACTTGTTGGCTTGGAGCCTTGTACCACAGTTTATACACAGGTGTATTCACCTCGGGCACCGTACGTACTATTTACAATTTGGGACTTACAAGCTGAGCCTCAGACACATTGTCCATCGAGTGCATGCAATGATCAAAGAAGAAGTACTTATTTAAAAAAAAAGAGTGTAGTGCAGCGGATGTTTACAGCTGCTTGTCTGTTCTTCAATGTTTGTTGTTCTCCTCCACTGCGGTTGCTATCCATGCAGCCAATGTGCACATGCCGAAGGATAGAATAACACAAGCACATCAGGGCTACGGTTTTGTAGAGTTCCTTGGCGAGGAAGATGCCAACTATGCCATACGAATAATGAATATGATCAAGTTGTTTGGCAAGCCGATACGAGTAAACAAGGTATGTCTCTTTGAGGAATGATGTTTGTTATTGCGTGTGTGTGTGTGTGTGTGTGTGTGTGTGTGTGTGTGTGTGTGTGTGTGTGTGCCTGTGTGCCTGTGTATGTGTGCGCGTGTGCGTCTTTATTCTCTTTCTCAGTCTCCTGACTTTTCTTTCATTCTCCTGGGTCGTTACCAACAAGCAGTGCATGCTGGAGTATGTGGTGTGATGTGTTTGCGGGGAAAAAAAGGAAAAAACCCAGAAAGTAGGGGTTCACTGACCAGAAAAAGTTGCATGTGTGTACCCAGCATTCAGAGCAATACAACAGAAGCGACAGTACGCATGCTTCATATAAATTTCGCTTGGTAGCATGCATGCGCGTGCGACGACGACGAAAACACACACACACATATACACACACACACAAACACACACACACGTGGATATGTATGCAGTATGTGTAGTGTGTTACTGTTCGAAGCTGCTGTATTAGTAGTTGTTCACAACCTTCACACACAGATTGCTGCTACGATAATGCTCAATGGACAAGCATGCAGAGATGTTCACACACTGTGGATAGAAGAGAACCGATAAGATGTCACATCATGTAACTTGTTCTATTCTGTCCACGGTGACTTCAGTGACTTCAGTGATATTTAGAATAATTTAAAATGAATGCTATCTTGTACATGTGGTTTTTGAAACAGTGCAGAACCAGTGTATATGTTCCGTCCCGTCCAAGGATTTTGCCCGTCCTAAGATGGGCGAAATAGCTAATGCCCATCCTAGGATGGGCACTGAGGTGGCCCGTTTGCGGATCGATCGACTTGAGATGCACCAATATAATAATATAAACACGTTTAAAATAAAAAAAACAATTCCACGTGAAAAAAGGCCCGCACGCGGGATCTCCATCGATCGAACCCGATCTGATCCTAAGATCGGCTCCCCCACCCCCTACCCATCCTAAGCTGGGCACCCCCACCCCCTACCCATCTTAAGATGCACCTTGTTTGTGTACAGGCCTCATCTTACAACAAGAACCTGGACGTTGGTGCCAACTTGTTCATTGGTAATCTGGATCCGGAGGTTGACGAGAAGCTACTCTATGACACCTTCAGCGCATTTGGTGTCATTTTACAAACACCAAAGGTAGGCACAATCCGCTGTTTCATGTTGCTGTTCTAGTTTTATGATACAGTGTAGCCACTAATGTGTACATCCTGTTGATACAGAATATATTCGTATTTCGTATCACCTGTTGCGCACCACTTCATATACCTCACAACCAGGGTTTTACCGCTATTAGAGAGTTTCACGTTGTTCTGCACTACACCGTGAAGTTTCACGCCGGTGTGGCAAATTTTGGCGTCGAAACTCACGTTCATGACGTGAGCTGAGGTCAATTCACGTTCGACGTGAACGCGAGTTTTTGCCAATTTAGCCTTGCTATCAGGTTGGGATTATTGACTCGATTTTGTCGATGTTACTGAACAAATCAATGACTTCTCCAATCAGACTGTATTCAATATTCCATCTTCGGACAACAAGCACTAGCTCAAAAAACACCAGCTTAGAGTTCAACACAACCGTTTCCAAACTCATCTGAAAACATCGTAAACACATCTGACCCAAAACAAAAATGCAAATCACGAATATAGAACCAAAAGAACACCGTACGCACAGGTACGGGAGCACGCAGCTAGAACGATGATACATGTGAGACAATGGTGTAGTGATCAGCCAACAACGACCGCAAGTGCATTCATGAAACAGACAACTAGCCTAGCGGCAGACGCGCACTCATGCTTATGATACAAAGAACCAGCCACTGAGACAGTGCACAAAATAGCAACAAAGAGAGCAAAACGCTGTAGCAAAATGCAACAAATAAGTAAACTACAAATGCACTACTGCACTAATACAAGGCAGAAACATGATGCACAAATTCGAACACACTAAATCGAACAGTCGATTTTGCCTAAACTAGCTATAAATAATATTTGTGCGACTTTGGCCTCACCAAAAATCACTTTTGAAGTTTTCGCTCCCAGTTTTCGCTCCTGTCGTCAGCGAAACGACGTGCTTCACAAGCAACGTGAAACGAAAGCTCTTTCTGAGCTCGCGTCAACGCAAAAAAATTGATGTTCACGTAAGAGCACAAATCACGCGGGTCGAAACCTCTCTATTGATCATATTATTGAACTGGTAAATCGAGGCGCCAAGCATTGGGGGTCGTCTTATACTGTAACTGGTAAAATGCGGTACTTTCGAATAAAGAGACTATTCAAAAGTGTAAAGTGTCTTCATGAACTTTTTGTCTTCTCCACATTTTGCTTAGATCATGAGAGATCTGCAAACAGGAAACTCGAAAGGATTTGCATTTGTCAACTTCGCTACCTTTGATGCCAGTGATGCTGCAATTGAAGCCATGAACGGCCAGCATTTGGCCAACCGTGCAATTAGTGTGTCTTACGCCTTCAAGAAAGACACTAAAGGAGAGCGCCATGGATCGGCAGCAGGTAAGCTATTGTTCACAATGCTCGTGCTTTTGTATATCAGTATACGTGTACTATATGGGCCACAACCAGCTAAAACATGTGCCCCAAAAACCGCTTTCAAAATATGTACTTTGAAATAGAAAATGACAGTTTTTGCACAGTCTGACACAAAGAGACCAACTATCACTTAGTGGCTTTTGTGGCGGAGCACAATACAACGGAACTAAAGATGTTGACACCGACTTGAGCATGTCAACGACATCAGTTCAAAGGCATGGCCCAAGTCCTTCCTGGAAAGCAACACGATGCTCTGGGCGACGTTGCACTTGCACACTCTTTCGATTCTGGCAGTGACACTTTCGATCGTCGCCTGCGTTTCCGAGACTGCGTCAGACGACTCATGAGAGCTGAACGCAAGTAACGTCGTAAGGCAGCCGGTTCGCCGCCTAATGATTATGTACTAGCCCACAACTTGTGCCTCTTCGCTACTGGAGACGACGGGGACGATTCAGCTTCGCTGTCGACATCAACATCACTGAGATCCCAACAATAATTGTCAGCGTCACTCTGCAGACCCGCCGCCACGGACTTGCAGACACCTGAACAAACCTGGGCCATGCACAGCGATCGTCTGGCCCTGTGAGCTGCTCTAGTATCACTAGATGCGGACATTGTCAGTCTTTGCTCGCCAGCTACTTGAACTAGACCGCCAAACAAGTGTTTGAACAAAACTTGAGAAGACGATCGCCACATCATGGATCATTTGAATGAAGTGCAGAGTGAACGCGCTCCAAAAAAACATTTTTTTCGTTTCGTCATTTCCCAACTTTTTTACGAAACCCCAAAGACATGTTTTAGCTGATCGCGGCCCATATTATGCTGTAGTCAATGACTTCTGTTGTTTTATTATGACAGTCATATTGTACCATGTTTCCTAAGAACTCTCCAACTCCACTGCAACGTTTTCTTTCCACTTGTAAACACCTCCATTCCCCGAACAGGCTCTCAGCTGCACAAAATGAATAAATGAATGAAGGTACTGCAATATTTCGCCCATTCGGCATTATCAGGGCGTTGTGAAGAGAAATTTCAACAATCCTTTTTGTGAATTTTGCTGAAACGATTATAGAATTATTACTGTTTTGTGAAGTTTGAATTAATTTCCGCTGTGAGTATGCAGTTCCCAGGAGTATGGTTCATGTTCCAGGGACTAATTTAACCGGTATCGCATCGCAGTTTGCGACGCAAAACACAGTGTCTGCGATTCGAAGTTCGTAGTGAGTCGCGGTAAACTGCGACACAACATACATGTACATGTTAGCTAAGTAGTGCATGCGTAGCGCATGCACATGTGTAGCTTTACACTTACAGCGTGTGTGGCTGGTTTGGCGCCACGAGATGGCGCGCCATGCACTGTGACTAGATTACATGTAGACTGTGTGTGTGTGGTTGTCCAGCCTGCACTGCTAGGTAGATTTTACACCATACGCACGCGCGGGCCGCGGGACCATGGCCAATTATGTCACACTATCTCCGCACGCGCACCGCAGCGCGTGCACTTGGAAACTAACTAACTACTTACTTGAAGTGCAGCCCAGGAAGCACGAGGCGAGTGTCGACAAGTACTTCACCTGCTTTTGAGATATAGACCGCGTTGCTTCACTAGCAGTAGGCATCTCGACCGTTCAGGACTTATCTTTGTAAAATTCTGCTAGCCTTATTGATGAAGCCTCTTCACTGCCGGCATGTCTGTGAAGCAAGGTACTGTGGACAAGTGGATTGCTGAATTTGATCCCAAAAAAGAATGGAATCGCGCAGAGTCGAGTGGCGGAGCTGTGACCAAGATATTTTGCAAGATGTGCAGGGAGAAGGCGTCCTCGCTTCGTGGTTTGAGGAATTACAGCACGGCGTTCGTTGACGGTATAAGTGGAAGTGCACTGAAGACTGCATTGTCGACGGAAAAAAACTGCTATGCAAAATTGTTGCGTTGCTATGCAAACATCGGGGTGTGTAGCAATTATTGCTATGCAATTTTTTGAAGTAAATTAGTCCCTGTGTTCTGAGGTTCAATTGACTTCAAAACTGCCATGTTTTGGAGCTACTCTTTCACTAATCCAGATTTTTGGTATTATGAAGACATAGCATGTGGAAACAGAGTAATTTCTGACACAATTCTGACACTATTTGCTGACGATTATAATGGATTAATCGATCGTTACGCCAAAGAGTAATCGATAGGTGGAAATCTACGATCGTTTCAGACCTAGAGTTTAATTCAATTTTTACAAACGTTATAATAGCAATAAAAAGAACAAATTCTGCAGTCATCGCCACACTACAACGAAGTCATGAAAGTTTACCAGAATTAATTTTCTTGTCACATTCATCAGTGGAAAGTCGTGACTGAAGAGTAACCATGCTGAACAATGATTAAATATACATTCAATGATGTGTTACGAGAACAAAATACAGTGCCAAAATAGAATGAGGGAAGGTGAGACAATAGAAGTGAAGTGAGAGCTAAGTGCAACGGTGGGTGAAAAACTAATAATTATAACGCTAAAACTGTGTAGTGAGACAAACAATCATGCTGTGCACCTACGAAAACAATTTTAACGCAACTACATGAGACGGAGGACGAGGCTGCGGTTGTTGGAGACGAGGAATCAGATGGTGATTGTGATCGTAAGAAGTCTGCCGTTTTTCTTCACTTGTTGTCTCACCCTAAGTGTCTGCAGGTGTATGATGATTTTAGTTTTTCTGTTCTTTGTCGTGCACGGTATGCTAGTCAGTTGAAAGTACTTGAGGCTGTTTGTATTCGTTTGCATAAGCCTGATCTTTGTAAGCAGAAGAAACATGTAGTTGCGTTAAAATTGTTTTCGTAGGTGCACAGCATGATTGTTTGTCTCACTACACAGTTTTAGCGTTATAATTATTAGTTTTTCACCCACCGTTGCACTTAGCTCTCACTTCACTTCTATTGTCTCACCTTCCCTCATTCTATTTTGGCACTGTATTTTGTTCTCGTAACACATCATTGAATGTATATTTAATCATTGTTCAGCATGGTTACTCTTCAGTCACGACTTTCCACTGATGAATGTGACAAGAAAATTAATTCTGGTAAACTTTCATGACTTCGTTGTAGTGTGGCGATGACTGCAGAATTTGTTCTTTTTATTGCTATTATAAAATTGTTGTCTCCACGTCGATTATTTACAAACGTTCTTCTTTATTGTTGATTTTCTTGTGTTCACCAACTTATGATGGTTTCTGATTCCTATGTGTGTAGAACGTCTCCTCGCTGCTCAAAATCCTCTCTCACTTGGCGAGAAGCCGCATCAAATGTTTGCAGATGCGCCAGCAGCGAAGGAAGCAGAACCTGCTTCAGCGCCGGTTCCAACGGTGGTGCCACCACCCATGATGCCGCCACCGATGGTGGGAGGACCACCGCCGATGATGCCACCACCGGGTACATTACCGCCGCCTGGTGTCAACGGTCCGCCGCCACCGCCGCAGTTCATGCCGCCGCCTGACTGGCGAGGTCCTCCTCCCCAGGGCCCGCCGCCGTCCGGCCCACCCCCGCCTAACAATCAGCCGCCGCCCATGATGGTTCCACCTCCGGGTGCAATGCCTCCCGGTATGGGCGCGCCTCCGCCGCACTTCGCCCCACCTCCAGACTGGCGTCCGTCTGGTCCGCCGCCACCTGGTCCGCCCCCAGGTGTGCATCCACCTCCTGGCGCTGGTCCCCCTCCTCAGATGGTGCCTCCACCAGGTGCTATGCCTCCGAGAATGGGAATGCCTCCGCCGTTCATGCCGCCCCGTAAGTTTCTATTGTGTTCTACTTTATGTACGCGCTCTATTTAAAAGCGGGATTCACAGAAGTATTTTTTTAATTTTTGCGATGCGCCGTTCAAGAGTTGCTTGTAGATTTGTACGAGTTGCACCAAGCCACTTGAATACCATGGTGACGTGTTTACCTGTATTGAACTTCGCGCCGAATCAGCAAGGCGACGTCGCATCGCAAACTTCTTTCTGTGAATGGAATTTCACGAGTTCGCATCGCAAGCCGCCGTCGCAGATCGCGTCACATGCCCATTGCATCGCGCCAAAAAAGGTTTCTGTGAATCCCGCTTTAGGGCGGAGACGCATGCATGTTTGGTTTTCCATGACAGATCCGTGCATGTGAAGGGTCGGCTTAGAAACGTGTTGGCAGTGTGGGATATTGCATGTAAGAATAGTCTCACTTCGACTGTTAGAAAAAGAGGCAGCATGACTCATGACCGACGTTTGTTTGTAAAAGTGGCGGAGTGAGTGAAGAGTGAAATCCTATTTTGGATCTTGAGCAGTCAAGTTCGATGGTTTGAAGGTATTGCATGCTATGGGCTTGCTTGTCTGCTGTCTGTATCATTGCTGCTATGCTGCTGGGCACGCTCGATTGTGCTTCAGTGTTGAATGACATTTGTGAAATGATTTGCACTTTCCCTTTTTTCTCCCAGCTCCCGGTGGACCACCTGGTGACATGATGGGGGTAAGTCAGTGTGAATGTGATCTTTGGCTTTGCTTGGCTGCCGGATGCTGTACATTGTCAAACACCTTCTCTATCAGGATTTTATGTCTAGGTTGCAGAGAGTATTCTGTTCTGGTTGCATGCTTAGGTTGCATGGGGAAGGTTGTTTGCGAGACTTCTTTGGCGCCATCGGCAGGCATGCACGGCATGCATAGCTGTGCGCACGATGTACTGTATTGATCTGTGCCGTCAGTGTGTTTTGCATGCAGGATGCTTGTTTAGTGTTGGTTGCCCCACTCATCTCCATGTTTTCCTTGCTGCTGTTTCCCATGCAGCCACCACGCAACCTGCAAGCGCCGCCGCCAATGATGGCTCCGCCGCCTGGCGCACCTCCGCCACGGCCACCTGGAATGATGATGTAAAGATACTACAATAGTGAAAGAAGAAGAAAAAGACGACGACGAGACTAGTGAACGCTCATACATCAACAACAGCACGATCATGAAACCCTTGAAACTCAACTTGCATCTCTTTACGCTCCAGCAGACATGAAACAGTACTGTTTGTACCATGTATGTTTTCTCTCTTTTTTAGGTTTTTCTGAAATACACTGCTCTATCCAGGAGCCAATAAAAGTTTCGAGTTGTTAGAGTAATGATGTAGTTACAACTCAGAGCCGCAATGCCTGCAGCTAGCTGACTCTCGGTGCACCCATGCGGCTGGCGCTGCTTGACACAGCCACGTTTGTTTCGGGTGTTTTGTAAGATCGTGGGGCAAGCACGCACCCGGACAAAGCTTCACTCTTAGGAAATGATGGTCCTCTATCTGTACGCACTTGCAATGCACTGGCAGACAGACGGGCAAGTACTTGTAGCGGAGTTTGTTTCAGAGCCGTGTTCAAGCGTGCAGATATCGTTTGAAAGAGGGCATCGTAAATACGGGTATTTTACGCCTACATGGTATGATGTGTTGGTGTGGATGAGTGCTTTCTGATACCAAGAGTACATAACCTGGGGGTTATGTACTCTTGCTGATACCCAGACAATGATCCTGGTAATGGGGCAATCGTCATGATTTTGCGTTTCTATCAGGGAGTCGTAAAGTCTTTACGGCTCTCTGATTTATATACCTGTACTGGCGTAAGAGCCGTTCTCGCGGCAATGTTTCAGTCAGCAACTACTTACCTGTACGCGTACATGTGTCTGTAGAACAATGTGTACTGGTGTGGTGGTCCTGTGAATCCCGCTGCCATATAATCCCGTTGTTACACCCCTCTCCTCTCACCCAAGCCATTCTGCATAAGCGAAGCTGTGGACGCAGCATACTGCTGCTACACTTCAACGCGGGAATGCGTGTAATAATACATACAGCAATGAAAAATTAATGATGGTACCTGGGCCATACAATTGATTTGTGCATACTGACTACGACGGATTAATGTTCGCTATTTTCGCGAGAAGAGTGTTACCGCGAATATTTACCATCGTGAAATCTAATTTCAACAGTGTGTGTATGTACGTGAACCCCGTGCTTCGCGAACTTTTGCCATCGCAAACTCGCTGGTTCTAAGAAATCGCGAAAATTTAGTGACATGAATATTGGGGGGTTTACAGCATACGGTTTACATGATTTACATTGTGCAGTGTGCTAGACAATCACCCCCCCCCCCCGCCCCTACATTTGACGACTGCCTGGTGCATGAAAAAAGAGCTGACTTCAGAGGTCATGAATGCACCATGCCTTTTGTACACAATTCATCCATATCTAGATCTGGATCAGGGAGTCGTAAAATTTTACGACTCCCTGATCTGGATCTATTTTCCGCTTTCCACCTCTGTTTTCGTTCAATATGGACTGTGCACATGTGAACCTATGAACCTAGCGGGCATATGTCATGACGTCGACAAGAGTAGATCTACGAGTCGCCCTGCTGCGCGGTTTTGTGTGAAGTGACACTGAACTTTACTTGAACTTTGTTGAAGTCTACGTCTGTGAAGTGCACATGTGCGTGTTTCCTGTACTTTTCACACTGTGTTACGTGTGTATGTCACTTTCGTTGAATTCCCGAAGAAGAAGAACTTCGATCTTCAAGTTAGTTGAGAAAGAAAGAGGACCGAAATTCTTGTGTGCAGTACTTCTCTTGAGCTCAAACAAATTGTCTTTGTTTGTATTTAACACATTACTTGGAAATACTAGTTGGAAGCTGATTTCTCTCGGCTCTCTTGGCGGTTCCGTGATCTCACCGCGGTTTTCTGTTTAGGATGCCTTAGTAGGAGCTGTCAGTTGTTCTCTGAGGCATCATAGTTCAAACCTACGAAGTAGAGGGTCATTGTGGCCTTGACGGCCTGAAGCGCAAGCTGTGTAGCCACTAGCAGCACCTTTCCAGTGGGCACACTGTCCAGCTATCATGGCATTCTTCAAGAATGTCTTCGGTAGGGCCGGGAAGAAGGAGAAAAGGGAGTTCCCGAACATCACAATGAATGTGGACCCTGAGGAGCACTGGGAACTTGTCGGAGAGCTTGGTGACGGAGCATTTGGAAAAGTTTATAAGGTACTAGTAATTGACAACAATGCAAATTCACCGTACCAAAGCTTCCCGGCAATATACACTGTACATTAGTGATCATCAGCTTGGAGTACAATCATGTACTTCGAGAGTTGACATGATTTCTATTTTCCCTGATGTATTTTTGTTACTCAGGCCAAACATAGAGAGAATGGCAGAATAGCAGCTGCCAAAATTGTCGAGCTAAATTCGGACGAAGATCTGGATGACTTTGCGGTGGAGATCGATATCCTCGTGGAGTGTGCAGAATCCCAGTATGTAATCAAGCTGCACGAGTCATACTTGTTCAAGAATAAGCTTTGGGTGAGTAGTAGTAGTAGTAGTAGTAGTAGTAGTAGTAGTAGTAGTAGTAGTAGTAGTAGTAGTAGTAGTAGTAGTAGTAGTAGTAGTAGTAGTAGTAGTAGTAGTAGTAGTAGTAGTAGTAGTAGTAGTAGTAATAGTAGAATTTATTATTTTGATAGGGAAGGCCCTGCAGACGTAGCACAGGAGTACATAATTATTATTATGACTCGGTAACCTCCAAGAGTATGCAACTCCCATATGTAGTGCTGTGCTGTCCCAGTTGACGTCACTTTTATGATGCAATGCTCCTCTTGAGCTCGCACGAGTGATTTACAACGCTTGATATATACGTAAGGGTACATAATTTGAGTACATTTGCGCTGCCGCTTATCCGGCATTCAGTCATCCGGCACGTCGGTTATCCAACAGCGCACTGGCATCTCATACACTGTACATGTACAGTCCTATTTCAAGACTTAGTAGATGTGGACACTGAGCATCATGTACATTGCCTTACCTCTATGTAACGTTTCACACAAGACAGTCTATAGATGAGCATGGCGACTCTATCAGGATAATATTAGTAATAGAGCCTCAAAAACACAGGTCCAATCATGATTTTCAGTCCTTTTTGATGTGTGAACACAAGATGGCTACCGGTATGTAGCTTCTGATATCCAAAATATTATTCAGGAGCGCATGCCACCAGGATAAGATTGTCCAGAGCCAGTATAGAGGGTATAATACCCAGGACGGAGTGCATGTTGTGCATGAATGCAGTACATGTATCACTATGATGCCGATGATCTTGATCTTGGTCTAACGTTACTACAGTGCATTTCAAAAATGCAGGCACGTGAACCTGCACGAGAGTTTCCATGCAGACGTCTAGCATACTACAGTTGTGGCAAGTGAAATCCGACACTTGGCATAAGGAACTGCGCCATACATCCTGCAGCCCTGCATACGTACGGTACATGTGGTACATACAACTTTATCTGTCTGATGACAGAATTCGTACTCATCACAGTCAAGGTTCACAGGCAAAGTTCAAAAGGTACTGGCAAAAATGAATAGGGATTAGATACCAATACTCCTTATGTGTACCATGTTTGTGAACTGTGTATCTACGCTGTGACCTTTCCACCTGTTTGGGATGCGTACGGCTCTAGACTATAGTACAAATTAGGTGCAGTGCATTACATCATTGGTGTCCATTTGTGGCGCTGTCCCCTATGCTTCTAGGCTATGGCAAGTGTTGGATTTCACTTGCCACAACTGTAGTACTGGTACATGTACTCTAAGGGGGCGTTCGTTTTTGATCTACAGGTTTGGATAGAAACTACTACTTCCTTCGGTAGACGTGTTCATTTTTTTGAAAAAAATTCTACTCAAAAGGGTAGATTCTACTTTCCTATACCGGCTCTACCAGGAAAAAGTTGGTAGAACCCGGTAGAAGTTGGTAGAGCTACGGGATTTCCAGCAAGATCAAGGATTTGTACACAACTCCATCCAAAAAAGGAACATTTCACGTACACATCGTGTAAACTACTAAATCCGGTAGAACAACGTTCGTAAACTTGCCTCTACCATCTACCTCTATCGGTAGAGTGACTCTACTCTACTCTACCAGGTAGCTAAAAACGAACGCAGCCTAAAAGACACTATTTTTGAACATGCAAACTATTATCCCATGCATGTGTGTGCGCGCGCGCGTGTGTGTCTGTGTGCCTATAAAGATGCTCATTGAGTTTTGTGCTGGCGGTGCAATGGATGACGTCCTTCAAGGTAAGCTTTGGGTTTGCCTACCGCACTGCATGCAGGTGCTTGCGCATGTGCACGTGTGCATGCTTGAGTATGTGTGTACGTTTACAGCATACAACCCAGGGGCCGGTGTACATGGGAACATCTTATCTGGACACATTGGAACAAGGCATGGCCCGTAATCTAGATCCACCCACTTTATATGTTGCGCGCCCATTCACGGATACTGTAGTGTCTTGCATTAAAGCCGGTCTCGTATAGAAACCGGTTTTTAATACGAGCGTCTGCTTTTAGTGTGGACATACAGTCGACCTACTCTTATAACGATATTTGCGTCAGACCAAGAAATATTGTTATAAGGGTAATATTGTTATAGGGGTAACTGGTTCATTTCATACACATACGTCATAATGCATGGATTTTGTTCATTTTTACACTCTTCATAGCATAAAAAACTGACATACTACCGGTACATCATTTTACATGCACATTATGTACATAGCAAGGTGCCCACTGGTGCCCCTGTTGCATTTCGTCATGTCCCAGCGACTTATCAAGTGAAGCTTGCCCTACCTGGATAGTGGGCTATACTGTCCCTGCGGGAATTTGCGGAAAAAACTCTCGAAAACTTGCGCAAGAAATTGCGGCAGAAAGTAACAAAAAATGCGACGAAAAGTGCGGAATGATGCAGAACTTGCCAGGAATTCGCGGAATTATTTGCAGAAAATTGCGGATTTGGGCCAAATCACGAAATTTGTTGCATCGTATATCTTCTCGGGAGTCGTACTGTGCAAATAACCTACAGGATCATGGAAAGAACTGCGTGAAACGTGTCAAAAATGTGAGATATAGTGCAGAAAACAACAAAAAAACGCAGGAATTCGCGGATTTTGCTGAAAATCGCGGGTTTGGGCCAAAATCGCGAAATTTGTTGCATCCGTGGAATCGCGATTTCCTGGAGGGACAGGCTATACATATTCCCTGCTAGATATTGTTATAAAATGGAAAATGTCGATTGGTCAGCCCATTTTATATTGTTATAGGGGTAATATCGTTATAGCAATATTGTTATAGAGGTAAGGCATTGTATACACAAGTCAATGGAGTGATTTGGTTTGGCAGAAAAATATCGTTATAAGGGTAATATCGTTATAGAGGTTATCGTTATAAGTGTAGCGGTAGCTACTTAGAGTAGTTTTGCCTGAATCTTTATTGCAGAAGGGGGAACATTATCGGACACGGAAAAGCACAACTAACTGTAAGGAGAGCAGAAACGAAGAGGTGATTCCAATCGGGAATCACTGTGTAAAGAAGACAGAGAGCGGAATGGACGGCGGTGCTGCGTGCACACAGCAGCGACCGGAAGCAGCGTGCCCAGTACGGGATGCCATGTATAGATGGAGCCCGAGGGCAGTGCACTCAGACATGAATACGCACGCGCACCCGAGTACTGCGTTCAGTGCATGCGGGGACTGTGCCATAGAAGGGGAAGGGTTAGTGATGCGCAGCCAGCAAGTCCAGCGGTACATGAATGCATGAGTCAATGGTACAGCAGGCAGGCTGCGGTTCTTATACAAGTACACACGTTAGATCAATGCGAGTGAGTGTAGGGAGTAGGAAGGAGAAACCTGGAGACAGACAATGATATGCCTAGGGATAGAGTTCTGTCATGATGCTACTCATTACACTACATCTCCCCTAACGGAAAGAGTTGCAGGCCCAGACAATGCTATGCCCAGGGATAGAGTTCTGTCATGATGTTACTTATTACACCACATCTCCCCTAACGGAAAGAGTTGCAGGTCCATGTTCACATGGTCGAGATAAGCCGCTCCGGTGCGATGGCTGTGCGACCTGAACAGGTAGTGGAGGTGGCACTTGTGTTGGGCTCGGCGGCAGCAGGCATGCCGTTTTGGCTCGCCACAGGAGTTTCTCCACCGCTTGGTGGCTTCCGGCTGCGGCGGGAGTAGCCGTGAGGTGTTGCAGTGAGCCGTTGCAGTAAGCTGTTGCAGTAAGCTGTTGCAGTGAGCCGTTGCAGTAAGCGGTTGCAGTGAGCTGTTGCAGTGAGCCGTTGCAGTGAGCTGTTGCAGTAAGCTGTTGCAGTAAGCCGTTGCAGTGGGCCGTTGCAGTGAGCCGTTGCAGTAAGCCGTTGCAGTAAGCCGTTGCAGTAAGCTGTTGCAGTGAGCCGTTGCAGTGAGCTGTTGCAGTGAGCCGTTGCTGTGAGCTGTTGCAGTAAGCTGTTGCAGTAAGCTGTTGCAGTAAGCTGTTGCAGTAAGCCGTTGCAGTGGGCCGTTGCAGTGAGCCGTTGCAGTAAGCCGTTGCAGTAAGCCGTTGGCTTGCAGTGGTGTGTCGTGAAGCGATCGCGGATGCGGTCATCGCGAGCGTCCTTGAAGTCGCCGTTGTCCGCGCCGCCGTAGAGACGACGCAGAAGTGACTCGTCCACGGTCTCGGATGGCGACTGTGTGTCGCGTTCGAACATCGTTCGTCCGTGGACGACGTTGGACACGGGCGTGACGTACGCCGAGAGTTTCGTCTCCACTTCCTGAGATTTATCGCGATCGCCGGCGTTGTCGAACGCGAGCCATCCTAGATCCTGAAGTTGCAGACCAGGTTCGTTGCGGATCAATGTTATTTTTTTATCACTGATCCTGTTCACTGCGCCATGTAGCGGTAGCTACTTAGAGTAGTTTCGCCTGAATCTTTATTGCAGAAGGGGGAACATTATCGGACACGGAAAAGCACAACTAACTGTAAGGAGAGCAGAAACGAAGAGGTGATTCCAATCGGGAATCACTGTGTAAAGAAGACAGAGAGCGGAATGGATGGCGGTGCTGCGTGCACACAGCAGCGACCGGAAGCAGCGTGCCCAGTACGGGATGCCATGTATAGATGGAGCCCGAGGGCAGTGCACTCAGACATGAATACGCACGCGCACCCGAGTACTGCGTTCAGTGCATGCGGGGACTGTGCCATAGAAGGGGAAGGGTTAGTGATGCGCAGCCAGCAAGTCCAGCGGTACATGAATGCATGAGTCAATGGTACAGCAGGCAGGCTGCGGTTCTTATACAAGTACACACGTTAGATCAATGCGAGTGAGTGTAGGGAGTAGGAAGGAGAAACCTGGAGACAGACAATGATATGCCTAGGGATAGAGTTCTGTCATGATGCTACTCATTACACTACAATAAGGGTAGGTCGACTGTACATAGAAATACCTGGTTTGAATAGAAGCCTAGCCCTGACATAGGTTTCTACAGGAATAAGCCCGGCTTTAATACGCGACATTACGGGTATGCATTTCATGTCATGATGGTGCTGGCATGTCACTGCGCAAGGAATTGTCGAGGTCAGTCAGGCGCATGCGCCGGTGGACTTCAAGGGGGGGGGGGGGGTTCGGGGGGCCTCCCCCGTGAAAATTTTTCAAAAAATGAAGCAAAATCCTGCAATTTGAGCGAAAAAGGGGGGTTCCGGGCACCCAGGAACCCATACGGCGCACGCGCCTGTCAGTGGCGAAAGGTCGCTGGAACACACCGTTTAGGCAGCGGGCATTTCCAAGGTCCGGCAATCCCTTTGTCAAACAGCCAGGCAGTCGGTGAGGCCGTCAAGCACCTGTATGTCCACGTTGCAATGCGGCTTCTTCAGCATACGTGTCTGTGCCTTCCAGGATCTGGCTCGTGTCTTCAGCCTCCACTTCTCGTTCACGTTCATGTTTTCAGTATTTCAAAAGGCCTTGTCGTTTCCGCACATGCTGACCTGCGTTGTGGGTACTGCAGGGCTGCACTTAACAGACCTGTCTCCTCTGGTTTAGCCTGGGGGAATGAAAGAAGGGGCTCCTACATGTAGATGTAGATCGACTGCATGAATATGACTGGAGGAAGCAACATGATGTAGCTGACAGCCTGTATATCAGCTTCAAGTGCGTGCACCAGTATATAGGGGTAAAGGTTCTAGGCAGGAACGAGTTGTGAGCAACACTGGCTCGCACTGTCACACATTCATTTCAAAAAAAATTATTCCACATTTCGGTCATGAAATAGCCATCCTCAGTCACAGCCCGTTCCTAATTATGAAGCTGCGTGAAGCGTCCTACAGGATTCTAAAAAGAATTTAGGCAGTCTCAAAAAGGGAGGGGGCAGTATTAGTAGTGGCACGATAATGTCACATGTGGAAGATTCAGCAGGAGCAGAAATACAAAACATGTCTTTAATTGTTCAATTTTTTTCTCTGTCACTTCCGAATCAATTGCTTTCACAGAGCTTAACCATGGACTTAATGAAGGGCAGATGAAAGTAGTGACTCGACACATGTTTGAGGTATGTATTACTGCAGAATATTTGTGCTGTTTGTATGCAAGTGAACATTTTTGGTGTTAATTTTTTTGTCTTGGTGCCGGTTTTCGCTGAAAGCCCTATTTCCGTGGCTCGTACAGGGTCAGATGAGTGCCCGGTTGACAGGAATGTCCTCCATATCTGGGGAATCCGGATAGTAAAAATATTCTGTGCTTCGAAGTACATGCTGTGCAGGAACTGAAGCTACCGGCGCCCTGTATACTTATGTGGCTGCACTGGACCCAGGCTATTACTGCCGGAACCTTTGTGCTGGTCCAAGTGTACCTGACATATGCAATACAATCCTGCGCGTCATACTCTTTACAATGTTCACAACAGGCATTGCATATAGTTATTGGTGTGAGTAATGGCTACCGAGGGTAGCAAAAGTCAGCTTGAGAGCGCATGGAGGAGGAGAATTTGTATTAGTCAACAGCCGAATGGTACCGTTCAAAGTTATAGATATTGCATATATCAGTAGTTTTACTTTATACCAGTTAGTCTGCATTGTGTGCATGGACTTTGATCCTGATAAAAGCCATGCACTCTGGAGTGTTCTTCGCTGTGGATCGTCCTTGTTTTGATATGCAGGCCCTCGCGTTCATGCATGACAAGCACATCATTCATCGAGACTTGAAAGCAGGCAACCTTTTGCTCTGCTCCGATGGCATGGTCAAACTTGGTGAGTGTTAATGTTCCGGAACATTACGGCTCTTTCTCTCTTCCTCGTTCTCGTTCTCTCTACCTCTTTTTCTCTCTCCTCTCTCCTCTCTCCCTCTCTATGGGGGAGGGGGGGGGGGGGGGGGGGGCAATCCTAGTACTTTTGTTATGGTTTCAGTCATGATGAAATCGAACTATCTCCCTCTCTATGGAGGGGGGGGGGCAATCCTAGTACTTTTGTTATGGTTTCAGTCATGATGAAATCGAACTATCTCCCTCTCTATGGAGGGGGGGGGGGGGGGGAGGGGGCAATCCTAGTACTTGTGTTATGGTTTCAGTCATGATGAAATCGAACTATCATCAGATCCCATTGTGCTTGTGTTAGGCCAATCCACCACACCGTTCGCACAATGACTAAGGGAGCATCTCATAAGTTCGCACTTTTTTTGTAAACGTAACGCATTTCGAATAGACTTTACCCCCCTACCTCCTCCCTCTATTTGAAAGTCTTATCGCACATTTTCCGTGTGCATGTCCATGCCATGCATGTCCATGCACATAACTTGTATGCCATACTAGTAGTATGCACATGAATGTCAAAGTGAATGGCATACAGTACTGCGTCTACTGAGTACAAGAACAATTGCACATAAACAGAGTTCCTCCACAACTATTAGTATTACTTGGCACAAGGACTGTGTACTGTAAAAGCTGGCCAGGTAGATCTACACAGTTTGATGATGCTGATGTGACACTTGACACCTCTGAGTAGCCTGTATGCATGCAGTGCAAGGCTGATCTCCAAACACAGGCACATAGATCTACACCTAAACACGCTCATTTGCTGAAGCGATCTTGCACATGCACTGCATGCAGCACAGTATGTACACATCCAGAAAATGTGCGAACTGTAATTTTTCTATTCGAAAAGGGCGTTACCCCCTACCCCCGTTTCGAAATGCGTTACGTTTAGAAAATAAATGCGAACATATGAGATGCTCCCTAAGCCTGTTGTAACTGCCGCATCGCGCTCTCTGGCTTCTAAATGCATCGTCTATTCTTCTGTGTTCTTATGCGTTCAGCTGATTTTGGAGTGTCGGCACTCAACAAGAATGCAAAACAAAAGCGCGACTCTTTCATTGGTACCCCATTCTGGTGAGTTCTGTAATACATGCAATCTTTGTCACTCCTTAGTTAGTGTGTGTGTGTGTGTGTGTGTGTGTGTGTGTGTGTGTGTGTGTGTGTGTGTGTGTGTGTGTGTGTGTGTGTCTGTGTGAAGTATATGCCTGTTAACCATGGACTGCTTCTGGCTAGATTAACTCTTGTGTAATCAATGGTGCTAGTGAAGCTTATATCAGATCCACTCTGATTTAGCATACTAGTAGCAAGTATTACCTTCACTGAGGGCAGGGGTAACTGCAGTTGGATCCCGGGACGGATACCCTGATGCCGTCAATCCTTTTTCTGCACCTTGTCCTCACCCACTTACTGAGGTGTGGTGAGCCCATACGTGGGATCATTTTCAAGTCCACCCAGAGTTTTGGGGATTTCAGGGGGTGTCGGCCGTTGGGCGGTTCAATAGCCAATTGAGTCATCTTTCCACGATTCCTTTTGAGTCTCTCTCCCCTCTCCCGGGAAGACCCACGTGACCAGTTTTGGCAGTGAGCAACAAGTACAAGTGTGTGTGTGTGTGTGTGTGTGTGTGTGTGTGTGTGTGTGTGTGTGTGTGTGTGTGTGTGTGTGTGGTGTGTGTGTGTGGTGTGTGTGTGTGTGTGTGTGTGTATGTGTGTGTGTGTAAAGAGGACCAAAATAAGGGATTCATTGGCCAGAAGGAGCCACTTCAAATAGCCGTGTGGTGCAGACCAGGCTGAATAATGGCGGACAATTCTTTAGCCAGGCAAGCTGCTGAATTGTTTAATTCCAGAACAAGTTGCTATGGCTTCTGCTGTAGCATCGCTATCATGATGGGCGTCGAAGGTCAAAGGTGTATAGAGGTGGCAAGATGTAACTGACTGTGGCTCTTGGTTGCATGTATGTTGTTTGTTCCTGTATGGGCACTGACAGGATGGCACCAGAGGTGATAGCATGTGAAACGAATAAGGATATTCCCTACGACTACAAGGTCTGTGCGTCACTGTGTGTCTTGTATTAATTTTATGTATTTACTATTTAGACATGATTAGTATTCAACCTAGATCAACTGGATGTGTTCTTTATAGTAATTTTCATTATGTGAAGCTAGGATAGAGGCGTTTTGTGCATGCTGATATGCGCCAGATATGCGAATGAAGTTTTTTTCGGTGATACTATTCCCGCTTTGTAGTCACCTGGTATTGCCTGGTCGCACATGCACAGAGGTTCCGCTTCGGCATGCGCTGTAATACTTGAACGTGGGCCATGATGGTCCTGCATGCTTGTTATTGCATACACAGCGTATGCACACAGGTGGGACGCCAATGCATAGCAGCACACAGGTGCATTCCACTGGAGCAAAACCGCAGAAGTGGTAATCCCGTCAGCAGCTCGCATTGCACCTTCCGCTCCTGTGGTGCAACCTCTCTCAAGTGAATTTGTGACTGGATCCTTAGCGGTCCCTTCTCAATAGCAGGATTCCCTTTAGAGATAGTAGTCCCTTCACGATAGCAGGGTTCCTGTGAGAGATTGACCTTGCTGTGTGTGTGTGTGTGTGTGTGTGTGTGTGTGTGTGTGTGTGTGTGTTTGTCATTTCTCCACTCATAGGCGGATATCTGGTCAGCGGGAATCACAATGATTGAGCTGGCAGATGTTAACCCACCCAATTATGAGATGCATCCCATGCGCGTGCTATTCAAAATTCCCAAGGCTGACCCACCCACCGTCTTAGCCCCACGGAAATGGTGAGAACGCATAACCAGCAGGCTACCGCATATTGCATGTGGAACATGATAGAACTTGTTCTCTTGGCGGTAGCGTTGGTGCTTCTGCTTGAGTAGACTTTGTTTCAAGGAAACTATTCTTGGTGGACTATGCCTCAGATACCAGTTGCTTGGTGACTAAACCGTTATTGATAAAAAAAATAGTGTTAAATAATACACACTCGCTTATCTTCTTCATATTTCTGTCTTAACCGGCTCTTGATGCAATGGCAAGGCAATTATGCCTGTTCAACCAGTGAAGTAAACACACACTTTTCTGGCCATTTCGGTTAGTGTCACCAACTTAGGCTGCGTTTACACGACAACGCTGGGGGCGAAAACGCAACGAAATCCTTTCGGATCCAGGGTTCATTTACACGGTACGCGGAACAAAACGTAAAAGTTGTATACCAAAACGGAAGAAAACCAAAAGGCTGGCCAAGGTGGAAGAATTTGAAAACGGAAATGTTCTGCCGGATAAATTTGGGCGTGTAAACAGTCGAAACGGTGTGCTGGCCTCGTTTTCCGTCACGTTTGTTTCGTTTTCGGCCGTTTACACGGATCCGACAATCCAAAAAATGTTTTTACAATTTTCGTCATGTGACGGGTGTTGTCGTGTGCCTGTTTTCAACCATTACTTGAGTGTGATTGGTGCTTCCACGGCAACACTGGGCACATGACGAACTTTGGCGGATCCTTTGCTCTCGTGTAGACGCTCGAAAACGGTACAACCGGAGACCACCTCGGATCGGCTTTGATCGTGTAAACGTACGAAAACGAAAAAAGAAATGCGGGACTGAAAACGGAAAACTGGCCGTGCGTTGTCGTGTAAACGCAGCCTTAAACTGCTGGTGCAAGTATATATGCAGCATCTAATCTTTCAACAGTGATCTCATTTCCCGGTAAAGCGCGGACGTCACTTCTGAAAAGACATAGATCGTGTAAGTTGCTGCTTAGGTTTTGTTGATTAGAGTAACGTTACTATGGAGTTGTGACGCTGTGTGACCAGCCATTGCAGTGCACATTAGACATAATTATTGTCTTTGATGCCTCAACCCCTGGTGCGTGTGCAGGTCCAAGCACTTCAACGACTTTGTAGCCAAGTGTCTGGTGAAGGAGCCCGATGACAGGCCGACTGCGCTGGAAATGCTCGAGGTGTGCTGAATGCTGTGATGATGTGCTGTTGCAGTCCATTCATACGTATTCTAGGTTTGTGAATCACTCAAGACGCTGGTGTTGCAGGGCTTTCATGGCCATCCAGTTTTGTGTTGAAGTCCTTTCTCTCCAAAAGTTGGGCCATTTATGCACCGGCTGTAAACACCCAACATTTTCAAAACGGACCTTTCTCCGTAACAAACACACGTATGTTGATCATTGTCGTGATCTTTTCCAAGCGTACAGCCGTCCTTTTATAATCGGGTACTATTTGTAAGACAGAAATTCTGCTGGACTAAAAAAATGGAGAAACATTTTGCTTGCTGAACATTTTGCTTGTTTATCAAGGGTTCTCACTTGCATAATGCTGGAATAATGAAGGAAGGCTGTACATTAATTCAACTTTACTAAGTATTGTTGTTTACCGGCAATCCCCAATACAGGGCTAGGTTTTCAGCCTGAGTTTCTATAATTAGGACAGGATTAATGTTAGCATGATTCAATGTGCACACTTGTGGATCAAAAGCCTGATACTGGCCAAAGTGGAGAGTTTTCAGATATTATGGAGGTTTAGCAAGACGAATTTCGCGTTCGAGTTCGTGAACACTTTTTGGTTTGTGAACTGAAATGCAAACTTTCGCACTATTCATCGGAAAAGCAGTCGGAACACGAAACACAGATTTCTCTCAGGCAGTCCTAAAGTTGACTGCGTTGTGATGCCTGTGCACATGTACGACCTGTCACCGTCATGCAAGCGCGAATTCTGTTTGCTAATCCTTCGTCACTGAGTTCGTCTTTCATTGGAGTGTGAATTCGAACGCAAAATCCATCATCCTAATCCTCCGTATTGTCAATCAAACTTGTGCCTCGTAATTCCTCCTTTTGCTGCTGAGGTATCTGAACGCCAACCACCCATGCATATTTGATTGCAAACTGGTTGTTCCAGAGCATGTTTCTAAGAAAAGAAAAAAACGTTTCCGGGTACATGTTCTAGCAGGATCAGGAATCAAAAGTGTGTGAGTTGCCGGTGATGAAATGGCATTGTTTTGTACAATAGTGTGCGCCGTGCATTTCCCTTTTATTTATTTTGTTTGTTGTGTTGTCCTCCTTTTTGCTTGTAGCACCCTTTCCTGCAAGGCGTTGACTCTACACAGGAGACGAAAGTCCTCTTTGCTGAAATTCGTGCAGATTTCGAGGACATCATTCAGGAACTCGACGAGCAGGTACGTGCTGGTGGTTTGACAATCTCCTTTTGGGGGAGGGAGGTGCCTCACATTTGAGGCGTTTTCTTTACTATCTTGATGCATGCTAGTCGTTGCTATCATACTGTAAAATGTTATCTCCGCCTGTTCTGGTCTCTTCCCTGCACTTTCGGACGTGTTGGGTAACTTGTTGCTGTACTTTTTCCTGCATCCTCTGTTGTGTTCTTGTTTCGGTGGGGCGAATACAGACCACAGAATCGGCTACGAATGACTCCATGGACGTCCCTGACACAAAGCAGAGTTCCCCATCCCAGGGTAGTCCTTCTTCAACGGGCTGTAGCTTCAATCCGCCAGAGTGCTCAAGATCTAACTCCTGTGCGAGTCTGAAGACAACATCGAAAGAAGATGACAAACCAAGCAACTTCAAGACCCTGAAACGAGTCCGGACTTACAAGGTTGACGGCAAGGAGTACTCTTCAACGATGGAAGTGATCATTGATGTTAACAAGGGTAAATCTGTGGAACAGCAGGGCGAGCGGCTTTTGCAAGCCCAACGGTAAGCACCATGCAAGCAGCACAGTGAACGTGCGTACTACATGTATTGTGCAATTGCTCGCATCCAGGCGTGGGCGGGACTGTGCATGACACTTGGCTGGCCAACTGTTTGGATGCTGTTTGGTACGGTGCAATTCTGGAACAGCGCATGCACAGCGTTGGCAAGCGGAGTCCAATCTCAAGAAATAGACCAGCCCCGGTGCTGCGCGGCCCTGACATTACTGTACAAGTTTGGTGCACATTACCGTGATATCTGCCTAAGCTGACCGTTCGCGGGTTCCCCGAAATGTGGTCCCGTGCATAGGTGGTCTCCTTATCCAGGGTCATATTAGTGGAAGTGATACCCTTTGATCCTGGATTTTGTGGCATTTGGTTGCCTTATCAGAGTGGTCACCTTCACAGGTTTTACTTTATCACAACATATATCCGGTGTGCTGTTCAGGAAACTAGAAGTTCGGGAACGGAAAATCCTTCAACGTGAAGAAGTGAAGGAAACCCAAACGCTGTTCACCATCATTCAGCGCGACAAGGAGGAGCAGGAGCGCCGCTTTGAGAGCACACGACAGGTATGTTGTATGATACCACAAGTGTTTTGGAGGCACTGCCTTACCGGCAACGTGGTGAACACTCCAGTGTGCCTGATGGTACATTTGTGTGCATTTAAAACTTTGTGCAGTTGTACTTTATTCGAAATGATGTGACACTGGTGAGGATGATAGGGCTGCAAGCACACTTGAGACAATGCGAATGGCCATTTGCTTGAGGCTCTTTTCACTGTGTGGATATCGCTCTTGCCAGTATACTGAATATATGGTGATGTGCTGTGTATGGCAGGACTGCAGCACATGCACCACTGATACTCTTAACAGTCTTCTATCTACGTTGAGTACATTGAATTATAAACAAGTGTTATGCCTGAAAGTAATTCTTCTGTTTTGCCCGTTGCTGTGACCTTGATCCGATAGGAGCTGGAGAAGAAATACGACAACCAGCTCGAAGGACTGGCCAGGGCACAAAAGAAGGAGATGGAGAAGTTTGAGAAGAAGCAGAAAGACGACTATCTGGTTCAGGCTAAACAGATAAAGGCAACTCAAGTGAGTGGTGTTCACTTTTTTGGGCTACACGTTATAGTAGGACGAAATATCCAACCAAGCATGAGTACACCGTCTTTCAAAAACTAGGCAGTGCTGCTGGAATGCATTGCCTGTCCGTGCAGGGTACATACAGAGATGGCATACCTTGAAACCCACAGTTTAGCATCATTGTTTGTACCTGGCTGCAACCATTGTCTTTCACAATTTGTTTGCAATGCTTGACTTGCAGTTAATGTAATTTATGTTGAGTGTTGAACTCCGGGTGTGGTGAAGTTGTGTGTATGTCTGTGTGTCTGCGGCCAGTAGTCCTCTTGGTGTTGTGCCATACATGAATCTGTGTTGCCTTGTTCTTCCTGTGCACATGCAGACAGAGGACCTGAAGAAGTTCAAGAAGGACAGCAAAACCCAGGAGAAGGCGGAGGAGAAATCAATGGCATCGACGGTGAGAGCGCACGGACACGTACCTCATGATTGCAAGCAGTTGCACATGTACTATGCACCTGTGCTGAATTTGTGAAACATGCATCACCGGCTGGCATTGCATTGCTTCTCCAGTTCTTCAGTGCATGTCTATTATCAACTGTGATTAAACTGCTTCTCTTGTGTTGTGTGATCACAGCTTGAGGCACAATATAAAAACAAGTCTGAGAGGAAGACAGCGCAGAAACGATGGAAAACCGAGTATGTAGAATCAATGAATGAGAAGGTATGGCATGGTTCTAGGCGTTGTGTGCTGCCCTGCGTGTGTTTGGCTGTGCATGCTTGCCTGTGTGTGCTCGGCTGGGACGTGAACGTACATGTAGAGTGGAACTGTGTGTACTCGCCTCGTACGTGTTGTAATTTTTGATGAGGCGCGAGCGTCTGAAGCAGCAAAGCAATATGCTCTCTGATAAGACTGCAGACTTACGCACTTAGCACAGTTGTGAATGCACCACAGTGCACTACAGCTACCGCAATGGTGCGTATATAAGTCAGACTTATTCCTGCGGAAGCCGATGTCAGTGCTGGGCTTCTATGCAAGTCAGACTTCTATTCAAACCAGGCTTACTTTCCACCAGTGCATCTTGAAAATCAGGCTTAATACAGGCAAACCTCTTTAGGACGAACATCAAGGGACCGATGATATTCGTTCGCAATAACGGGAGTTCTTCTTATCCGTATGTTTTACCCAGTGGATACACAGGGGTTTTATCCAATACAGTTACGAATACTAGTTCTTCTTAGGCAAACATGTGTCTTATCAGTGTTCTTATCAGTGTTCTTCCTAACAAGGTTTCACTGTACATGACTTTACGGTATTTACGAGTCGTACTTTGTCGTCACTTCCATCTATCCAATGCAGGCTCACTTTTGATTTCCTGTGCAATGATCTATTTCCTTTCTCCTGCAGGAGAAGCAGTTTGAGCAAGAACAGCAGACAGCATTTGAGCAGAACTGTGACTCGCTGAAACAATCAAGTCGGGATGCATGTCGAGATCTAGAGGCTGATCTGCTAGCCAAACGTCATGAGCTAATTCAACGTAAGTACGGCCCACTCATCGTTTCCTTAAGCAGAGAAACGTGCCGTTGTGTGTTTATCCTGCAAACTACAGGTCTGCTCTCGGTATAACAACTCTCACTTGTACGTAAACCTCGCTAGTATGTAAAAAAAATCAAATCCCGTGCCGAAACAGCATCACTCCCATGCAAATTTTGTTCTACACAACGTAATCCTACATAACATAAACCTCGACATAACGCACTCTACGGCGCGGCGCCCGGCGTGCGCACTCTCGACACAACGCAGCATAACTCTCGATATTATTATTATGTGCTTGTTCGCGTAGACATCAGCATGGCCTGCAGCTGCATTAATGGGCACGCAAATCATGCAAACCAGCCAAAAGTGTTCGCATAAGCCACTTCGAATAGATACAAAAGACCACAACAGTTTCAGAAAAAAGAAGAAATATGCGAAAAGAAGACAAAAACTAGGGTGCCGACACCACTCGGGCACAGATGCCCACCCAACCGCTTCGGTCAGCAGCAAGGGCACGGAACGCCTCCAGATCGACTTTGCTTGACAAGGAAAGTCCAATCCGCTTGGCATCATCTTGTAGTAGCGTTGGTAGTGTGTGTCTTGGTCGTCCCCTCCAGCCCGCTGGACGAGGCTCTGCGAAGTACGCTCCCATGGCCAGTGATGGTGGAGAGTCAGCCGGGAGCCGGAGGACGTGCCCAAAGAGCCTCCACCTAGCTCTCAAGATGATAGTACCGAGAGGAATCGCGCCGGTACGCTCATAGAGCCTCTCGTTCCTAATCCGATTCGGGAACACAATGCCGATTAGCGCCCGCAGCTGTTTTCGGGGGAAGGCCTCAATACGGCTCAGCTGCTGTTTCGTTGGTGCCCATGTTGCGCAATTGTAGCAGAGTACAGAGAGTACAAAGGCATTGTAGAGCCGAATACGGAGATCCTCCGAAACTAGCGACCTACGGATCCACAGCGTCCAGAGTTTACCAAAGGCAACAGTTGCCAGTTGCTGTCGCCGTAGCATATCGTCGGCATCACCTAATAGGGACCCGAGTTTCTTGGTGGTTCGCCAATCCTCCTCGATGCGATCAGTGTGCCGTTCGATGTGCGTGTGCTCTGTTTTGTCTCGTTCACTTTCAAATCCCATTCGAGGAGCTTGTTGGATATGGTTGGAAGGAGGGTCATCAGCCTCTCACCATCAGTAGTCACGAAATCCACATCGTCGGCGTAGGCAGTTTCAGTTGGTAACCCCAGGGAGATCGGCAACTCTCGATATAACATAACTTTTGCGTGGTCCCGAAGATTACGTTATATGGAGAGTAGACCTGTACTACTAGTACTGAATGACTTGCTCCTTCCTGTGTCTCCTCATAACTGTGGGACAGTGTACTTGTGACAAGGAGCAAACAAATCTCTTAGCGTACAAATGACCCCCGCTCTGCGAGAAACAGAAGTTGAAGGATGGGTCAATAATCCGGCAAAACTCAATTTCGCCAAAATAGCACCTACGGTTGGTTTGACACAGCACTGGCCAAATCACACTCAATATTCAATCTGCCATTCACGTATCATCTATACAAGAAGTAGGAAATATTTCTTTTGAACACCTTTTGTCTCACACCCTTCTTGCTACTTCGCCTTGAAGAATACCTCTGGCTTTCCTGAGGCAGTGTGTAAGACCTGCCATATCGCCTTGCGTGTGTGCTGGGGTATAATTTTGCAGGACGCGAGATGGATTACTGGGACAATGAGCAGCGTCACTTCGACGAGCACTACCACCTGTCCAACACTCAGCTGAGGGAGGCATTCCGTCTTCAGGGCCACCAGATGACGGAACGCCATAAGAAGGTTAGTGTGTACTGTGCTGTGGGATTGGTCATTACCAGAACTGTCCTGTTCTCCATGTCGTTTTTGCCCGGCATCAAGATTGTACAACAGGATGATCCCCCAGCTCATGGTGGGATTTTTTTATGACAGTCTTTCGCGAACATGGAAGGGTAATTCTTGCTGTCAGCCCCCTGATGCTTTGCTAACAATGCTCGGTCTGTGTGTGTAGAGAATTGTAGTAACACTGCTGTCTAATGCTTAGTTTAGTATCATGAAGCTCTGGACAACAACATGCGGTTCTTGCTACTCTTGTCCTCTAACTTTTCTTACCGGCCTGATTGAAATAAGGCCATTCGCCCAGAGGTTTTGTGCGGGAGTTGTACTTGTTCTTGCTGTAAGGGATCTGGTAATGTTTGGTGGGTGAATGGCATTCATCACGTGTCCAGTGATCTCTACCCGGCGCAACTGCTGTTGGCCGTAGCACGCCGAGGTAGTCCTGTACTGTATGACTGAACAATCCTGAATGGTGCGCTGCTGCTACTGCTGTTACTGTCCCTTTGTGAACATTCCTGCCTGGTGCGCTGCTGTTGTTTTTTACTCCTTTGCCACACACTATAGGAAGTAGCCCAGCACAATAGACGAACGGCCATCAAAGTAGACATTGTCAATCGCCGACATGCCATTGAGAACAAGACAGTGCCACAGAACCTAAAGAAGCAGAAGGCTACTGCACTGGCAAACATTCGCAAGCAGCTCAAGAAGAAGTCAGTGTCGCGGCACGAAGAGAAGGAGACACTCAAGAAGGTTAGAGGTCAATTTAGAACCTGCTAAATTTTTTTCTCTTTTAGAAAGAACGGCGTTTCAAGTCTCCTTTACTTTAGAGAGCCCTCGAACAAACACATGTGAATGGCTTATCCGGTAGCATAAGAGGCAGCATCAGTGCTGTTTACTAGCTAGTATGTTGCTGTGTCCGCTGCCATCTTGAGAACGCTTCCTTCCGCTCGGTTCTGTTGGTCTGTTCTGCAATGCACATGCACACACACACACACACACACCTTGACCTTGATACACGTTGCCTTGATAGGTTACATGGTCCCCGTCAGGGGAGAGGGGTGGAAGAGGCTGAGGAGCAGCACTTTTTCCACACACACACACACACACACACACACACACACACACACACACACACATCCTGCTTTCCTACATATGCAAGTAACTATGCTAACCAATTGTATACCTTGTTCATTCTAACATTCCGTTATTCCAGTGCGAGTCGGACTTGGTGAAGAAGCAAAATGAGGAGCTAGATAAGCTGCACCAGAAGCAGAGCGAAGAGCTAGAGGAAGTCAATACAAATGGTGAAACTGCGCTGACGGAGCTGTACGGCTTACAGGTAGGCATTCATCGCTCTACATAGCATTGCTTGACGCAGATTGCACGGAGCAGTTGGAGACGCATGCACAGTACATGTAGCTGAGCCTGTGCACACAGAAATCCCTGAGGAAATGTGTACGCAGCTGGAAGCACTGGTCTTGCAGCTGTCTGTATGTGGGTGATACGCAATACATGTACTAGTTTAGTAGTCAATACTACAAATTTTAGTTAGGGTTCAGGAAATGTACTTTACCGTATTAATAACGCACATATAAGCACATGCACTTACCGTATTTCCACGCATATAAAGCCATGGCGTTATAGGTGAAACATCGCTGTTTTGGACCAAATATTTGGAGAAAATAGCCTCGGTTTTACCGGCATGGCGCTAAAAGTGAGAGACGCGTACATGCCGAAAACCGGCAGAGTATGAACTTCGAGTACTCGTACGGTGCCGTTGCACGCTCATGTCGAGCATCCATGTACTTTCAATTTTCCCTGAAAATTTCAAATTGTGAACCTATTGTGTACAAGGTGGCATACAAACTTGTGGGAAGGTGCGGTGGCGGTATGGCGGGATGGGTACATGTAGAGAGAATCACCGCTACTATAGGTTCACTGAAAGAATTGAACTCACCTTTAACGCCAGATGCAACTTCCTCCACATTGAATTTTGTTCACTTATAACGCCATGGCTTTATAAGTGAGGGTGGCCTTATATTCGGATACAACGCCATGACTTTATATGCGCGGAAATACGGTATAAGTGACTTATTTATTTATTTATTTATTTATTTATTCAACATCTCCTGGCCCGTCCGAAGACTGCCAATAAACATGAGAGGTCAGGTGATAGCCAACCACGGCAAGCTAAAAAGGGAAAAAAAAGAAAGATGCTGTCAGAGAGGGAAAGGAGATAGGGAGAGAAAAAGAAAGGGAGGCACATTAATAATACATGGGATCACTTCGGATGAGACAGTGTGGAAAGCTGGACTGTGAATTTCCTGATATCCTGGCATGTCTTAATGCTAGTAGGCAGGTTAGACCAAAGGGAGTATGCTGAGAAGAAAGGGGATTTCAAAAACAGAGAGGAACTAGCTCGGGGCAGTGATAAGGCATTGCGTGTTGGTCTAGTGGTAACAAACCAGTTGTACTTGGCAATATGTTTCGGGACTTGGGCTAGGAAGATTTTTTGCACAAGGATACAAAGATGCTGCTGATGTCGGGCAAGAAGAGGGTGCGTGGAAGCAAGTTTATAAAGACAAAGGGAGGCAAATGTTTGGTCTTTTCGAAACAGAATTTTCAGAAGCAAGCGTTGATGTACCTCCAGTCTGTGGAGTAAAGTCTGAGACAACCCGCACCAAGCTATATCGCAATAGTCAAATATAGGCAAAATGTACGACTTAAAGAACAATTCTCTGCAGTTATCATTCAAGTGTTGGCAGTGGGGTTGTAGCATACCTAAGGACGCACTCGCACGCTTGCACACAGACTGGACTTGTGGAGACCAGGAGAGTTGGCGGTCGAGAATAACGCCCAGGTGCTTGTGCTCGTTAACAACTTTAATAGGTGTACTATTTAGACCAGGAAAATACAGAAGTTGAGTGGGGGGCGAGGGAGAGAAGAACATGGCCTCGGTTTTGGCGAGGTTAGGCTTCAGTTTCCAGGTTTCCATCCATGTTACTGTTGCGTTGACCCCGGACTGCATGGAGGCCGTGAGGTTGTCTGCCGAGCTGTCGGAGCACATCAGAGCAGTGTCGTCAGCAAAAAGACTTACATTTGGTACAAGGGCTGGCAAGTCATTAACGTACAGTAGAAATAGGAGCGGCCCAAGTATGGACCCCTGGGGTACCCCAGACACGACTAGTAATGGGTCTGATAGGGAGGTAGATACTCTGACAGTCTGGTGGCGGCAGGAAAGATAGGATGAGAGCCATTGCAGGGCTGGACCGTGTACCAAGAAGACGGACTCTAGCTTTGCAAGCAGACCACGATGCCAGACGGTGTCGAAAGCTTTCGCTAGGTCAAAGAACACGATGCCAACATGCCGCCTGAGGTTCCGCTGGGTGTAGATGTCTTGTACTAGACGTGTTAGTTGGAAAGTTGTGGAGTCTCCACGGCAGAAACCGGATTGAGATGGTGAAAGCGCTGGGGTGACGTGGCAGTACAGAGACTCAAAGAAAATACGTTCACAGACCTTGGACACAGCGGGAAGGAGAGAGATTGGTCTGTAGTTGCCAGCCTGAGAGCGTTGGCCTTTCTTATAGATCGGGACGATAACAGCAGATTTCCAGACGGACGGAAATACTCCTGTACGATATGACATGTTAAAGAGCAGGCACAAGGGATAGGACAGAGATGGCGCAAGCCATTTGAGAACCTCATTGGGTATGCCATCTTCGCCAGGGGACTTACAATTCTTCAGGAGTTTGAGGTGCTTACAGACGGTAGCAGTCGTGGTAACGACGCGTGTGAGTGGTGCGCTAAGTTCAGGGGCTGGGGACAGCGATGGAATGACCCAATTCGGATCTTCCGGAATGCCGGATGAAACAAACTGCTTGTTCAGTGTGTCTGCAATCGCCTTCACATCGTGCTGGCGGTTGCCATTGGAGTCCGTCAGGTACTGGATTGGCGCGCGGGAGGTCCCGCGGCACTGGTTGCGAATGAATTGGTGGAGTGATGGGCGATCGGGGGAGGAGAGTGTTGCAGAAAGAGAGTTTAGAAAGGAGCGGTGTGAGGTACGAGAAAGGTGCTTGACGAAGTTGCGTTGAACTCGGTAAGCCTCCCGGTTAACCGGCGTTGGGAATTTCTTGTAGATGCTGAAAAGATCACGCTTGCGCTTCACTTCAGATACGAGGGACCGTGTCACCCATGGGGGACTAGATGTCGAGGATGTTGGGTTGGAATGTTTCCGGTTGTTGTAGCCGATAGCAAAGTTAGAGAGGTGCTGTTGGAACCCTCGTTCAAGGACGGCTGCAAAGTGATCTACCGCGGCGTCAACAGTTGGAGAGCCTTCTGGTTGCAGAAACGACCAGTCGTGGCAGGAGAAATCAGCGTTCATAGAGTCCCAGCACTGAGAGGGAACTCGACGGAAGCGATATGGGAACGGTTTGCGAGAAGGAAGTGGCAGGTCTGGATCCGAGGGCAATGAGACGGCGAACTGGCATGAAACCATGAGATGGTCCGAGGAGCCAAGAGCGCAAGCTGTGTGAACGTCCGTCGCCAGCAGGGGTTGGTTCGTGAAGACAAGGTCTAGACATGACTGTGTTCCGGAAGATGTTGTGTGCGTTGGACTCTGCACCAGCTGATCCAAACCGAAGCAGGTAAGGGTGCGAAAAAGTGCCGCCCCAGCAGGACACGTTAAATCCGATGGGCACCACCGTTTGTGCTTACTGTTGAAGTCCCCAGCCATTATGACATGGTACGATGACATGGGAACGGTTACCAAAGCACTAGCTAGCATATCACAGAAGTGGTCTATTTCCGTGGTTTTGACTGAGGGCGGACGGTAGGTACAGCAGACGAGGATGGGTGTCGGGGAGCCTAAGATTGGGTGAAGCTCAACCCATACGGATTCACAGGTCGGACGAGCAAGGTCGTCGCGAACTTGGACTCTTCCGAAGCGATTTTGCCGGACAAGAATCGCAACTCCACCATATCCTCTGGTTGCCGTACCGGATTTGTTATCATGAGGTGGTCGGTCGCGACGAAATGTGGTATAACCGGAGATGGTGAGCGCTATGCTTGGATTTAGCCATGTTTCATTTAGACAGATGACATCAGGTTTGTTGAAATCAGCAATGACAGACAGTTCGGCAGATTTGTTAACGATTGAGCGGCAATTTACGGAAAGCAAGGTCAGTTTACCCTGGCAAGGGGGGAAGTAGGGCCGAGCCAGTGGATTCAGCTGTGGTCGCGCCATCATGCTGAGCCTGAGGAGAGGACGTTGTTTGCCTGGTTGGCATTGCTGGTGTCAAAACTGTCCGCGGCAAAACGCCAGGGCCTAACTGACTTTGCTACGAATTCAATTTTCAAAAATGAAATGTTTTTCGCCTAAACGCGCATGCGCGATCAGAGTTTGTTTGCCAGAGTCTTTGTGTTTGACTAGGTCTGGTAGTGTCATTTTCGTGGTTCCTGTATACTGTTTGCGCATGCACTTTTATCCGTGATTTTGTCAAAGTGAGAATTTTTTGGTAGTGCTTCGCCTATGCATGCGCTTATAAGTGAGAGTGCACTTATATCCGAATACAGGCGCATGCGCCTATATGTGCGTTACTACGGTACCTTTTCTCTGTGTACCAACCTATCCAGCCAAACATTGCCAAAAATAGAACGTAGCATATCGGCACAGTGTGTACATTTTGCACACATTCTTAAGGTATTTGTTGTAGCAGAGAGCATCATTATTTTTATGAAAGGCTGGAGCGAAAACTGCATTGACACCCAAACCTCCAAGACTGGCGGATGGCTGATTTGTTCTTCTGGCACAGGGGTAACATGGATGTGGCAAATAAGATTTCGGCCTTTTGCCTCTGGTTGGTGGATCTGATGGTCTATCCTCCCCCATCGTTCAGGAGCTGCATCTGATGCCTGCTGATGGGAAGGTGCCTCACACGAAAGCGGAAAGGTGGTTCTTGACCCGCCCTATACGCGGGCTCGTAATGTTTTTTCTCAAGAGGCAGTTTTTCCTTGCCTGGTTGCCTGAATAGTTCAAATGTTCCGCCGATGATCACACACCTTCAATTCAGGCCCGGTTTGGTTGAAAATACATGTTGCGCCCATGCGATTCCACGCCCAAAGCCGGGGCACCTTTGAGGGCGCGGTTAAGATTTCGAACGTAACCGCGGCTTTGTGGTCACGTGCACGCAAGTTGGCCGCTTCAGCACATAGACGTGTGTTTGGTCACAGTGTGAAATTGTCATTGCGGGCAGGAACTCAAACCATTCATGATGATATGTACTGTGTTACTATAATAAAAACGCAGGTATCTGTACAGTGGATGGAGGAGCAGGCCCAAGTTACAACGGGCTATACAAATTAGAATGTACTGTACTAGCCTACTCAATGTGCGGGACGTGCTGTTTGTCCTGTGTGGACGACACATCAGCGCAGCATAGAAGAATCAGGCCGGAGAATGCACTGAACTAAAAATGATGAATGCTGATCATGCCGAGTCTCTAACATTTTACGATGCTGGTTAACTTGTGCCTGCTTCGTGTAACTAACTTGGTGCATCTACTATTTCGTTACATGGCATCTTTGCATTGGAAAGTATTCCTCGAACTGATCTATTACATGCACCATGTTCTTTGCTTTCATATTGACAGGAACTTAAGATTCAGGAGCTGAAGGAGCGAGAGGATCAGAAACTCACTGAGCACTCCACAACTTATAAGTCCCAGCTGGAGGAGTACGATACACGACTGGCAAAGCGCAAGACTGTGAGTGATGCATGCACACACACACACACACACACACACACACACACACACACACACACACACACACACACACACACACACACACATGCACGCGCACATGCACGCGCACATGCACGCGCACACACACACACACACACACGCACACCTAAACCACTGGTGTTGCCCTTTCCTTCCTGTGCACAACGCTGCTGCTTCTGTGTTGCAACGCACACTTACTTGAAGGTCAGGATAGATAGCTGATGTATAAGAATATGTGAACAGTTGACTTTTGTGAGCGACAACAACAGAGTACATACACACACATTGTAGTTCAAGTCCTCCTCCCCCCGGTTCCTAAACTGATATTTGGTGCGCGGCTGAACATATTTGTGCTGGATGTGTGTGTTTCACCTGTACCGTTCTCTCCAGGAACTTGAGTCAGAGTTTGCACTGCAGCGAGAGCAGCTGCTCGCATTCTACAAGGACCCGCAGAATAATAGATCGCCCACTCCCCGCCGTCGTATCATCAACGGCACGTAACCGGGTATTAGATGAAGCAATTGGCGAAGTGCCCTGCTTGCTCCGCGTCCATTGCTGAATTGCATTTCAGGACAGTCCTGTTTGGGAGAGGGACGCCTCATTGACACTCTACTTGGGGACCTGGTATGAATGTGCCACCACTGCCGCTGATGCTAACGGCTGCACAGCAATGCTTTTGATGACGGGAATGATTTCGAGGATAACAGCGCAGCTTGTGATGACGAGGGATCACGGAACTGTTTTAGGCTATGAATCGAAAGAGGACCTTCGAGATTCCCGTTCATGTTTTTACAGACTACCTTTGTTAGTTTGTTTTGTATTTGATTAACGTTACCAACAACTTTTTGTTACAGAGAATAATGCTATTGTATCATACTTGTACCTAGGATGGACCGATTCCCTAGACCTGCACAGCCTGTTAACGTCCCAATTGGTGTTTTTTTAGATCCTTACCTTCATGATGCAGCTGGCCCTGTTTCTGCAGAGCTTCTTCTTGCTATGGCTATGCATACCCGGATTAGTATGGTACCAAGTCTGTCTGCCTGTCCGTCTTTCTCTCCCCCGCTTACTCCTTGAATTTTATTTCAACTTCTCGTCTTGCCTTCAAGTCGAAATGGTCAGTCTTGAGCCGGCAGTAGTATGGATTTCCGTTCTGCTGCTGCTGTATCAACAGGTACTTGATTACCATGGCTACACATTATGCCCAGTCCAGGCAGCATGATTGTCGTCTTTCTTTGCCTCCCCGCTTCTATTTTCCTCATCTATTTACTTGTACATGTACATGTACTGCATTCGATGAATCTGAGCTGGTGGCTGGACGTATCTTACCACGTATGCTGTTTTGTTACTCGCGTTGTACAAACTGTATGGTGCACATGAAGTATCAACGTGTGTTAGGAAGAGAACAGCCTCTTTTACGGGCAAAAGCAACACATAGTTTTACGCTACATGTATACTACACAACTGGTTTTAGATCCGGCTTTCAACCACCGCCAGCTCCCTGAGCTCGTTAGCTGGACGATGGTATGCCGACCGAGAGTCCGAGACCCACGGACACACATGACAGCGGACCGGAGTAGCGCGAAAGACAGCCTGCAGCGCACATATGCAACATGGTGTGCATAGGGCATGCTGGAATCAGCCCTGGCAAGCAAGCCACAGAGGCGCTTTCACATTCAGGGGAGGCAACACCAGAAGTTGACAACACCAGCGGGCTGAATGTGCCATGATCCACATTGAGGATTCTCTCTCTGTACTGCAGCTTCTTCTGGCGCTCGTGCTGAAGCAGTAGGGCATCCAGTGGTTGGGCCGAGTAGGACGCCGCGTCAGGATGGAAGACGCGTAGATCTACGTCAAAGAAAGCATCCTGTGCTCGGGTCCAGAAGCCACGGGCACGAATCATCGGCATACCACAATTGAGTTAGGAAGTGTTTTCGGTACAGACGGAGGCAGTTCTCTCTCATGTACATTTTTATTGCAAAGCCAGTGTGTTATCAAGAGATCCCCCCATCCGGGAGTTGTATCCTACCCACATGTGATATGGTGATTAGGTGATGTACAAGCAAGAGTAGAGTATAATCATAACCCCCCCAGGGGGGGGGGGGCTAAATACTATCAAGTACTTCAAAGTACAGTCGTCCCTCTCTAATCCGGCACTTGTTTATCCGGAACCCTTGCCAACCGGCGCACTTTCTGACGAAACCGATTTTTTTCGTTCAATTCCTACTTATTATTTTAGGCTGTCATCCAGGGAGTCAAATACCGGGAGTGGAAACGCCGTTAAAGGGGAACTCCACGAAAAAATGAAAATTTGATAGCCTGTAGAGTTTCGGGCGCTGAGTCGAATGGTCTTGGTCCGAAGTCTCTACGAGAAAGCGTTCTTGAGATATTTCAATTTTAGCCACGCCCCATACCAATGTATGTGTGACGTCATTGTGGCAATGTGCGAAAATACTTGGATTTTGAATCTCACTTTCTTCAGGACGAAAGTCACTTCAGAAAGTAGTTTGCCAAGTCGCCTGAGCCGCTGCAATGCCAAATTGTTGTGTTGTTGATTGTGCCAGTATCACATCATCCTCCTGGGGTTAGTTTTCTCAAATTCCCAAAGGATGGAGACCTGGCAAAGCGCCGAGATGTTGCAATGCGTCGTGAAAATTTCAAGCCTATTTTCGCAGCACGAGCTATGTTTGCTCGCTGCATTTATGATCCAGAGGGACTTGAGAGCTGAGTTTTGACGAGTACGCCGTCCAGGAAAGCCCTCATCAGTGTACCAGTGCCCTCCGAACCGTGAGCCTCCAGCAAAGCGAACTCAACAAGCTGCAACTGAGAAAGCAGGGCGAGATACGTCCCATCAGGATCAGAAGAGTACATCACCCCATCAACTCCGACTGCAGCTAGCTGATGAACGATATTACCCCAGTAACTTTGCGCATACCAGTACTCAAACTGTGCACATCTGTCATCAACTGGGACGCAAACAGACAGACCCCCAGCAAGTACGAAGGTTACAGAACTGTTTGCTTGCGATGTGCAGGCAGCATGCACGACGAACTGTCTCACCAATCCTGCCAAACTGAACCAGTGTAAGTTGATTGCGTGGATATGTCTCTATTTATAACAGCTACCCTACTTTTAGGCATGGTTGCATGAATACCATATCACTCAGAGCAGTTGTTAGAAGTCTGGACAGCCTTGGAATAGTGCAAGTAAAGTGAAACAAAAATATATTACACTCCGAGTTCCACGCTTGCGGGATCACCAGGCCAAAAAAAATCTAATTTCGAACAAGGAATGGGTTCTGGTTGTATGCAACACACACACATACGCACCCACATACTCAAACTCACTCGCACGCACGCTAGCCTAAGGATAGTACATATCCTGTAGTAGTGGTATACTTAGTGAAATGACTATGTGTACATCTAATGACGCCGCCACTCCACGCCAGAAGACAACAAACATCTGCTGCAACATTTTTGCTCCCGTCTCTTATGGGCAACACAGGGAATGAAACGAACAATGCAATTGAGAACAAGAGTCGTCCTGTACGGTGAAGTTTCCATTTTCTCATACAGCAGTATATTGTCTAAGCAAGTGTGTTTTCTCCACATTCTTTTTGCCATGCAGGTATATCACAGTGTCATGCCAAACTACATTCTCAAACGCATTCGTTTCTCAATTCTGGGGATGATTGGACACGCACATCTCGCAGCTCTTGACGACGTCAATGTCAACCGTCGCCACAGCACAACCAAAAAGACCGCGATAGGAAGGTATAAAGTCCAGTTCTCAAAGCATAAAGAAGACTGTGGCAAAATAGAAAATTATACGACAGAAAGAGCTATGAGTATGTTGACAAGCTCATGTGTGAGGTGGTAGCGGTTGCAAATGGCAACCTCCATGTTCCTGCCTTGGAGAAGCGTGTTTCCCTGCCAAATTCCAGGTGGAAGCCTCCTGAGAAGGCTGAGGTGGTGCAGGATTTGGATATCTTTGCCTGATGGTATTCACAACGCAGGCTGGAAGACGACAACGAACGTGCTTGCCCAATTTGCCGTGTACATAGTGTGTACTGCCTGTGTGCCGCATAGCGTAGAGATCTACACAAACACAGAATGTCATATATGGAATGTGTATGATGAGTGCTTGTACACATACCACATTGCTGTACCGTAATAATTATTATAGTCAAATACTCATTTACTCTACATATGCGCTGTATTGCACCTACCGGTACCTACCTGCACTTTCAGTGCGCGCGCCATACTAATTTAGTGTCCACTGGTACAAAGATGGAGGGTCTTGTAGAATTTACCATAATTGCTGATTTCAAATTGAATTCCAATGATCTGGGGGATGAATACTGATTAGGACGCGTTCGATTACCTACTAGCACAGAGATGTCTTGGTCAGAAAGTACAGATTTCTTACTCTCCTGCCAGAAATCGTGCATTATTTTGGTGTACGCTTTCTTGACCCCACGCTTGTACGTTGCATGCCATGGTATACTAGAAAACGAGTTTATTGACAAAGTCTATCGCTTGAAACGATAAAGTGTGGGTTCGGGTGTGATCAAAATTAATGCACCCATGGTGCTCATAAACTGTGTGCAGTGCTCTCTTCACCAACAGAACACTACCTACCATACTTTGTAGATCTTGTACCAATCCAAGGGAAAATGACAAAGACAAATGTGAGTCATGCATGAAAACTTGTGATAGCACGGTCTATAGTACAGAACAACGTTGTTCGTGCTATGCCTGACAACAATAATTAGTTACACACAAAACATTACGCGCATCGATCCTCACAAGATAAGTCAAGACATACTCGGAGCAAAGAGAAATTTGTTTGTGTCATGCATGAAACTTGTGATAACTACCAGTACAATGTCTTTCTTGTGCGACGCCTACTGTAGTGCGCCTGACAACAATAAATTTCCCCCAAAAAATAAGAATAAGTGTATCATGCTGATACGCGATCCTCACAAGACAAGTCAAGGCAAACTAATTGAGGCTTACCTAATGTCAGACTCTTCTGTCACTGGCATTGGCGGCTTCTGCATGTCGAGATAACCTCGAAGAGCAGTGATGAGCACAGCCTAATGCAAGGATACGATCTCGTAATCTGCGAGGTCCGCTACGCAAGAAACCTTGGGCCGTCTTGTCGACAGCGACGGCAGCATCCTACCAGCAAAATCATTCCCGCGGGCTGGGCATGGCTATACACTTTTGTCCACGCTCGCACCAGTCGGAGTCCCAAACGAATCGAGATTCTGGTGGCCAAGCTACTCGTCTTCTGTCGGACGCAGCTGCTGACGCATCTTCTTCCTCCACATTTGTTACACGCGATGGCAGCTCCTCAGCAGAGTATCTGGGCTCCCTGCCCCAACCATACGCGGCGGTGGGCTGTTGGTCGTCCTCACTGGCCTCAGCATCGCTGCCTTCATTGCTGGGGACAGAGGATTGTTCGGAATCGCCCATCTTCCCTTGAAATACCAACTAAAATTAGTGCTTGTAGACTGGCGAAGAGAAACGACTTTGCCACAATGACGTAGGCAGCCCGTGATGATGTAACCAAATGGCCGCATGACGTCAGGGCGCGGCCCCCGTTTTTGCAATTTCAAAGTGAAATATCTCAAGAACGCTTCGTCGTAGAGACTTCGGACCAAGACCATTCGACTCAGCGCCCGAAACTCTACAGGCTATCAAAGTTTCATTTTTTCGTGGAGTTCCCCTTTAATCTTGATTATCCATGCTCGCCTCGCGCAAAATTTTTGCAGTGCCTTGAGTACCTCAGCGTCGTCAAATGCAATTTAGAGTAGCCTTGAGTATTTTTTGGGAGAAAGCGTCCATCAGAACGTGTATACAGAGATATTTGCAGTGGTCTGCTCGTTTACTAGTAGGAGGACACCTAATTTATCGGTAGGCGTTATCGCAGTGTTGCGATGTATGACTGGAGGCCCGATTCACGCACGGATAGTGCCGTGACTTTTGATGTAATTTATCGAGGAAAATAGCTCAGCCTCAGTAATCAAAGCCACTTGGTTCGACCCACGAAAAAACTTCTCGTAACCATTGTCCTTTTCATATAGGTGCTACCTGTTAATTTTCTCGGTGTAAGATGATATGCCACTGACTTTTTGAGGGACCCTTCGTTTCTAAAACATTATTGATTTTTAAATCACGACAACATTATAAAGTCAAGGAATTTCTCTTGTTTTCTTCTTCAGTGTAAGAGAACATCACCGCTTTCAGTATGTCTCATGTCAAGAGGAAGCATGACAACGTATATCCACCACCAACACTGAGAATCGAATTACAGATTTGGCCGATTGTGTCGAGTATCACAGAATTGACAATGCACACCGAATTAAACTGTTCTAAATCCCTCTCTCTTTCTGTCTCGCTTCTCTTTGCCAACTTTGGGTGTCAGCAGTTACGCATGCGTACATGCACGCACCAATATACGGGTGCGCACGTACTCATTGGCATGCACAAACTGCACATGCACACACACACGGCATGCACGAACTGCGCATGCACGCACATTCACCCACATACACACACACTGGAATGCATGCATGCATGCACACACACACATACACACAAACCTGGTCCTGGTAAACACTGCCATTACGGTCACCTGTCCCCTTGCGGGGCCGACAACATGGAAACGACGAGCGACGGCAGAAAGCCGGCAGTCTGCCAAGAGATCAGGGACCATATTCAATCGGCACGACAAGAGAGCCATCTTTGGCAGCACACACACACATACTGACATGCCCACACTGTGCATGCACACACACGAACACACACACGGTGGATGCTCATGCGTCTCAGATTCAATTATCTTTTCAAAGTTTGGTAGATTCGGAGACATGTTGGCCAGAATTTCATAGCCGAAAGTCGCCAACACCGACTTGACGCTAGTTAACTCAGGCTTTCTGCTAGCTTCCAGTTCTCTTCTCACCGCAACAACACACCAACCACCATGGTATCTTTTTGGTGTCTCTGCAGTGCAGTTGACTATGGCGATGGGCTGGGGTGCTGCTGTTGCTGCTGCGGATGATGCTGGCATGATGGACGGCTTTCTTGCCACTACTGTACCGCAAATTAAACTTGAAAACACAGCTGATGTGGTCTCCAGGTCTGGACAAAACGCACACGGAAAACAGCGCAGTATTTTTATATTAAAATTGTCACAAATATTCATCCAGGTAGAGAATGCCATGTGTATCCTGATTCCTGACCATCACATAGTTTCTTAAATCTACCATTGCATTTCTTTTTACGAGTTTCACATTTATGCACGATCATTAGTCAAGTAAAAGAGATGATACTCACCCAGGACATCCATTTTCTCATGACTTGGCAACTTGGACAGTGTCTCGAGGAGAGACGTCCAGGCCAGATTAATAGTGCCAACCTTACTCCTCTTCACCATCTTCAACAGGTCAGTTCGGCGATGACGATCAGCATGTGCAATATCACGATAAAATATGTCAATCTTAGATAAAAGTTTACAACTTCTGGGCTGTTCAACTTCACGGCGTAGTGGATGGCCCTTGCAACAGAAGCTTCCCTGGGTCTGTACTTGACTGGAGGTTGATAAATCGAATGCTCTGTACATGCAGCATGCGTGTGTAACAAACCAAAACAAAGCTATTCAGTGATAGAAGTATTCACTCGATAAAGCTTGGTTTTACTCACCTCTCGCCAAAGTTCCTAAAACATCACTCGTAAAATGGCTACCGATATCTCCCTGTCCAGCTTGACCATGCACTGCCGACGAATCCACGACGAAGAGTGATAATACTACAAAAGGGAAGCGGAAATCTGACGAGAAGGTTTATGTATGGAGACGTCAAAACTGCTCCGCTTGCAGGAAGAACCAAAATACATTTTGACATTTTGAAAATCCCGCGGAATTGGTGAATGTGGCACAAAAAAGATTATTTGGAAAAAATCGGCGTGCTCCAGCGCGAGGCCTAGGCGAGCATGGATCACGCTCGCGCATCTCGTTTCCACTCCCGGTATTTGACGACTCCCTGCTGTCATCACACCATGGTACAAAGCGCTCTGCGTCTACGTCCACGTAAGGAGTTTTTGGTCGGTTGTCATGCATGATGATCCGTGTACGGGGTGAAAACGGGAGCAGAGGAAACGGGAGACGTAGACGTGGTATGGAGAGGGGGGGGGGGGGGTATACGACTTTTTGTATGAACGTGCGTATCTCCCCCAGCCTTTTTCTGAGCGACCCTGTACTTCTATGTACGTGGGTTCAAATTTCTAAAAACCTGACTGCGTGTACGGGTCAAGAACTGTGCTTGTCTGATGACACGACCATCCGTATCCGTTTTGGTTTTTTCACCATAGACGTAGACGTAAACGGGAGTCGGAGAACGTGGTGTGATGACGGCCTTGGGAGTAGTGTCCTGCCAATTTTCAGGTGTGTGTGTGTGTGCGTGTGTGTGCAAGAGTATATGTGAACATGTTCTCTGTTTTACTTTATCACTTTATCACTGTGTATATTCCCGGAGAACAATTGAGAATATAAAGCCGTGCACCAAATACTTGGATTGACACGGAAAAACCCTGCATTTTGACGTACATATGAGACATGCATGCAATTGGGTAGGGCCGGATCAGAGGGCAGGATTTCTTAATCCGGCACCCTCGTTAATCCAGCAGAAAATGCCGTAGCAAAAGGTGCCGGATTAGAGAGGGACGACTGTAGTAGTAGTAGTAGTAGTAGTAGTAGTAGTAGTAGTAGTAGTAGTAGTAGTAGTAGTAGTAGTAGTAGTAGTAGTAGTAGTAGTAGTAGTAGTAGTAGTAGTAGTAGTAGTAGTAGTAGTAGTAGTAGTAGTAGTAGTAGTAGTAGTAGTAGTAGTAGTAGTAGTAGTAGTAGTAGTAGTAGTAGTAGTAGTAGTAGTAGTAGTAGTAGTAGTAGTAGTAGTAGTAGTAGTAGTAGTAGTAGTAGTAGTAGTAGTAGTAGTAGTAGTAGTAGTAGTAGTAGTAGTAGTAGTAGTAGTAGTAGTAGTAGTAGTAGTAGTAGTAGTAGTAGTAGTAGTAGTAGTAGTAGTAGTAGTAGTAGTAGTAGTAGTAGTAGTAGTAGTAGTAGTAGTAGTAGTAGTAGTAGTAGTAGTAGTAGTAGTAGTAGTAGTAGTAGTAGTAGTAGTAGTAGTAGTAGTAGTAGTAGTAGTAGTAGTAGTAGTAGTAGTAGTAGTAGTAGTAGTAGTAGTAGTAGTAGTAGTAGTAGTAGTAGTAGTAGTAGTAGTAGTAGTAGTAGTAGTAGTAGTAGTAGTAGTAGTAGTAGTAGTAGTAGTAGTAGTAGTAGTAGTAGTAGTAGTAGTAGTAGTAGTAGTAGTAGTAGTAGTAGTAGTAGTAGTAGTAGTAGTAGTAGTAGTAGTAGTAGTAGTAGTAGTAGTAGTAGTAGTAGTAGTAGTAGTAGTAGTAGTAGTAGTAGTAGTAGTAGTAGTAGTAGTAGTAGTAGTAGTAGTAGTAGTAGTAGTAGTAGTAGTAGTAGTAGTAGTAGTAGTAGTAGTAGTAGTAGTAGTAGTAGTAGTAGTAGTAGTAGTAGTAGTAGTAGTAGTAGTAGTAGTAGTAGTAGTAGTAGTAGTAGTAGTAGTAGTAGTAGTAGTAGTAGTAGTAGTAGTAGTAGTAGTAGTAGTAGTAGTAGTAGTAGTAGTAGTAGTAGTAGTAGTAGTAGTAGTAGTAGTAGTAGTAGTAGTAGTAGTAGTAGTAGTAGTAGTAGTAGTAGTAGTAGTAGTAGTAGTAGTAGTAGTAGTAGTAGTAGTAGTAGTAGTAGTAGTAGTAGTAGTAGTAGTAGTAGTAGTAGTAGTAGTAGTAGTAGTAGTAGTAGTAGTAGTAGTAGTAGTAGTAGTAGTAGTAGTAGTAGTAGTAGTAGTAGTAGTAGTAGTAGTAGTAGTAGTAGTAGTAGTAGTAGTAGTAGTAGTAGTAGTAGTAGTAGTAGTAGTAGTAGTAGTAGTAGTAGTAGTAGTAGTAGTAGTAGTAGTAGTAGTAGTAGTAGTAGTAGTAGTAGTAGTAGTAGTAGTAGTAGTAGTAGTAGTAGTAGTAGTAGTAGTAGTAGTAGTAGTAGTAGTAGTAGTAGTAGTAGTAGTAGTAGTAGTAGTAGTAGTAGTAGTAGTAGTAGTAGTAGTAGTAGTAGTAGTAGTAGTAGTAGTAGTAGTAGTAGTAGTAGTAGTAGTAGTAGTAGTAGTAGTAGTAGTAGTAGTAGTAGTAGTAGTAGTAGTAGTAGTAGTAGTAGTAGTAGTAGTAGTAGTAGTAGTAGTAGTAGTAGTAGTAGTAGTAGTAGTAGTAGTAGTAGTAGTAGTAGTAGTAGTAGTAGTAGTAGTAGTAGTAGTAGTAGTAGTAGTAGTAGTAGTAGTAGTAGTAGTAGTAGTAGTAGTAGTAGTAGTAGTAGTAGTAGTAGTAGTAGTAGTAGTAGTAGTAGTAGTAGTAGTAGTAGTAGTAGTAGTAGTAGTAGTAGTAGTAGTAGTAGTAGTAGTAGTAGTAGTAGTAGTAGTAGTAGTAGTAGTAGTAGTAGTAGTAGTAGTAGTAGTAGTAGTAGTAGTAGTAGTAGTAGTAGTAGTAGTAGTAGTAGTAGTAGTAGTAGTAGTAGTAGTAGTAGTAGTAGTAGTAGTAGTAGTAGTAGTAGTAGTAGTAGTAGTAGTAGTAGTAGTAGTAGTAGTAGTAGTAGTAGTAGTAGTAGTAGTAGTAGTAGTAGTAGTAGTAGTAGTAGTAGTAGTAGTAGTAGTAGTAGTAGTAGTAGTAGTAGTAGTAGTAGTAGTAGTAGTAGTAGTAGTAGTAGTAGTAGTAGTAGTAGTAGTAGTAGTAGTAGTAGTAGTAGTAGTAGTAGTAGTAGTAGTAGTAGTAGTAGTAGTAGTAGTAGTAGTAGTAGTAGTAGTAGTAGTAGTAGTAGTAGTAGTAGTAGTAGTAGTAGTAGTAGTAGTAGTAGTAGTAGTAGTAGTAGTAGTAGTAGTAGTAGTAGTAGTAGTAGTAGTAGTAGTAGTAGTAGTAGTAGTAGTAGTAGTAGTAGTAGTAGTAGTAGTAGTAGTAGTAGTAGTAGTAGTAGTAGTAGTAGTAGTAGTAGTAGTAGTAGTAGTAGTAGTAGTAGTAGTAGTAGTAGTAGTAGTAGTAGTAGTAGTAGTAGTAGTAGTAGTAGTAGTAGTAGTAGTAGTAGTAGTAGTAGTAGTAGTAGTAGTAGTAGTAGTAGTAGTAGTAGTAGTAGTAGTAGTAGTAGTAGTAGTAGTAGTAGTAGTAGTAGTAGTAGTAGTAGTAGTAGTAGTAGTAGTAGTAGTAGTAGTAGTAGTAGTAGTAGTAGTAGTAGTAGTAGTAGTAGTAGTAGTAGTAGTAGTAGTAGTAGTAGTAGTAGTAGTAGTAGTAGTAGTAGTAGTAGTAGTAGTAGTAGTAGTAGTAGTAGTAGTAGTAGTAGTAGTAGTAGTAGTAGTAGTAGTAGTAGTAGTAGTAGTAGTAGTAGTAGTAGTAGTAGTAGTAGTAGTAGTAGTAGTAGTAGTAGTAGTAGTAGTAGTAGTAGTAGTAGTAGTAGTAGTAGTAGTAGTAGTAGTAGTAGTAGTAGTAGTAGTAGTAGTAGTAGTAGTAGTAGTAGTAGTAGTAGTAGTAGTAGTAGTAGTAGTAGTAGTAGTAGTAGTAGTAGTAGTAGTAGTAGTAGTAGTAGTAGTAGTAGTAGTAGTAGTAGTAGTAGTAGTAGTAGTAGTAGTAGTAGTAGTAGTAGTAGTAGTAGTAGTAGTAGTAGTAGTAGTAGTAGTAGTAGTAGTAGTAGTAGTAGTAGTAGTAGTAGTAGTAGTAGTAGTAGTAGTAGTAGTAGTAGTAGTAGTAGTAGTAGTAGTAGTAGTAGTAGTAGTAGTAGTAGTAGTAGTAGTAGTAGTAGTAGTAGTAGTAGTAGTAGTAGTAGTAGTAGTAGTAGTAGTAGTAGTAGTAGTAGTAGTAGTAGTAGTAGTAGTAGTAGTAGTAGTAGTAGTAGTAGTAGTAGTAGTAGTAGTAGTAGTAGTAGTAGTAGTAGTAGTAGTAGTAGTAGTAGTAGTAGTAGTAGTAGTAGTAGTAGTAGTAGTAGTAGTAGTAGTAGTAGTAGTAGTAGTAGTAGTAGTAGTAGTAGTAGTAGTAGTAGTAGTAGTAGTAGTAGTAGTAGTAGTAGTAGTAGTAGTAGTAGTAGTAGTAGTAGTAGTAGTAGTAGTAGTAGTAGTAGTAGTAGTAGTAGTAGTAGTAGTAGTAGTAGTAGTAGTAGTAGTAGTAGTAGTAGTAGTAGTAGTAGTAGTAGTAGTAGTAGTAGTAGTAGTAGTAGTAGTAGTAGTAGTAGTAGTAGTAGTAGTAGTAGTAGTAGTAGTAGTAGTAGTAGTAGTAGTAGTAGTAGTAGTAGTAGTAGTAGGCTGCCGGCTGAGATTCAGTGTCCATGCGTCAATCTGGACAATATAACAATAGCTCAAAGACCTTAACAATTGATTACTTCTCTTGACATACTAGAGAGGTTCTGCAAAACGAAAATGTGTACGAACTTTCGCTCTACGTCACGAAGTGAGAAACTTCGCACGAACTTTCGCAACTTTGGACGCGAAACTTGCAGGGAACGCGAAATGAACTTTCGTAGGAAGTTTCGTGAGATTGGGTCATGTCGTACGTGCACTTGGCGCGTGCAAACTACGAAAATGTGCAGAACACAAAGTTCGTGCGAAAATTCGTACACATTTTCGCAAGGCCTGTCGCGAAACTTCGTTCGAATTTTCGTTGTGCAGAACCTCTCTACTAGTGCATTCTCTTTTTCTTTCTCTCTTTCGTTCTTACTCACTCTTTTCCATCACTTGTGTGCTTACCATGGTATTTTTTTGCCCGTAAAAGTGGTTTGGTCAGTAGTAGTAGTAGTAGTAGTAGTAGTAGTAGTAGTAGTAGTAGTAGTAGTGGTAGTAGTAGTAGTAGTAGTAGTAGTCAGCAAGCTTGCTGTCGCGTCAGGAAGTCATCAGCCAGCTCCGAACGCATGAACGGATGAAGAAGCGCCAGTACGGAGAGCGGGTGACAGCAGTTGACAGAGGTACGTTTACACCGCTAGTTTTTTCTACCTCGGGCATGATTGGCAGAGAATGTTCAATGGCACTGAAGACACTGGCATGCCTGATTGCTGAGAAGAACGTCGACCTACACGTATCGGTTATCATGGGTCAGCTCCGTTGTAAGCTGTCAGTCTGCCTTATGCGATGGGCAGTCACCTGTTTGCGTGGTTCAAGATCGTCATACCGCCGCAACAGGATGAATTTCACGACGATGTGCAGGTTGCGGGCAGCCTGAGCGTGATAGTACCTGACAGACATTTGCCCAACATTGCCCCATGATAATGAATTCTTGAGTTTTTGGACATTGTATTGCATTGCTGCTCCATCTACATGGCTGTATTTGTGTTTCACATCTCCATTTCAAGTTTCCTAATAAAGATTGTGTCAAGTAGTAGTAGTAGTAGTAGTAGTAGTAGTAGTAGTAATGCCTTTAACATGCCTTTAACAGCGTTAACCGTTCAGCAGCTATTTACAACATCGCCCGTACTTGTCCCGCTATGTCACTGATCGTGGGAAACACCTACCGAGAACCGATCCGGCTTTTCGTGACGGGTGGTGGTGAGGTTCAATCTCGTGAGGGTACATGCCAAGGTGACCCAATTGCCATGGCTATGTATGCACTAGCCATCATGCCACTTATCCATCGACTGCAGGAGCTTGTCCCAGATGCTGAGCAGTTATGGTATGCTGATGACGATTCCGCACTGGGACGTCTTCGTGCTCTACGCAAGTACTGGCGGAGCATCAGCAACCTGGGTCCGGTGTATGGGTACTTGCCCAACCCCACGAAGACGGTGCTCGTTGTGAAGCCGGAAGTCGAGGTGGAGGCCCGGGATCTTTTCCGGGATACTGGCGTCTCTATTCGGACGGACGGCGCTCGTTGCCTGGGTGGTGCCTTTGGCACAGTCGAGTTCCGTCGTGAGTTTCTGGATCAGCGGGTTCAGGGACTTACAGCCCAGATGAATCGCTGTGGAGAGTACGCCATTACCCAGCCTCATGCCAGCTACGCCGTTGCCGTAAGATCCCTGGTGCCAAGGTGGAAATTTCTATCACGGGCCATGGAGTGCGGTCCGGGGGTGTTGGCACCCATTGACAGCAGTGTGACTGACAAGTTGTTACCTGCTGTCACCGGCCATCACTTCTCGGACGACTCCCCGCTGCGGCGTTTGCTGTCTCTGCCCTGTCGACGTGGTGGAATTGGGTTGCCAATCGCCTCGGTTGTTGCAGAGCATGAGCACCAGCGTGCCCTGCGTGCGACTGAGCCCATGCGGGATCTACTCCATCGCTCTCGCACTGAGCCTCAGAATATTGGAGCATCTCGAGATCCTCGGCCTGGGGATGACCATCCCATCCTCGCTGCCCTTGCCCTCGCACGGACTCGTGCTGTTGCCATGCGGCGGGAGAGGGACCGCCAGGCATCGGATCTGGCTGCTGCCGTTTCTCGTGAGCTATCGCCCCCGCAGCAGTTGTTAATCGAGATTGCGGGTGAGCCCGGCATATCGTCATGGCTGACGGCGGACCCGATGTCCCGGTACGGCACCGTGCTGAATTGTAATGACTTCAGAGACGCCCTCTGTATCCGTTACGACCTGGATCTCAGGGACACCGCGGCAACCTGTGTGTGTGGTCAGCCTGCCGTGCGGGATCACATGTTTGTATGCCCGACCGGCGGCTATCCTGGTGCGCGTCACGACAACATCCGTGATCTGCTCGCGGAGGTGTTGGTTGATGTCGCCCAGGACGTTGAAAAGGAGCCTAGGCTGGCGGCCATGCATGGGGAGGATCTACCCGGACGCCAGCTGAATCGCCAGGACGAGGCCCGAGCGGACATCCGAGCCAGGGGCTTCTGGACAAGGCAGCAGGACGCCTATTTTGATGTTAGGGTAACCCACCCTAAGGCGTCTGTGCTGTCTCGTTCAGAAGTCCTTGGCCAGCTCAGGTCTCACGAGCGGCGTAAGAAGGCCGAGTATGGGCCACGGATCGTCAACATCGAGCGTGCGTCATTTACGCCGCTTGTGTTTACGACGCAGGGCCTGGCGGCACCGGAGTGCGCGAAATTTCTATCGACGTTGGCGACATACCTGTCCAGGCGTCACACCGATATCCCGTACTCCATCCTCATCAACCGGTTGCGGGTACGCATCTCATTTTGCTTACTTCGGTGGGCCGTCACCTGTTTCCGCGGGTGCCGGGCCTCGTATCAGCGGCGTCGCCAGTCGTCTTTCCTGGTGGAGTGCCGGCAGATGGGTGGCCGATGAGCTGTTGCCATGGCAAGGGGGCTGCTGAGACGCCGGCTTGGCACCGGGTGGACTCGCTGCCGATGGTACGGTGTAGGATGTATGTACAATGTAGGTACTTCACTCTGTTGTCATTTGTCTGTCTATTTGTTGAATTGGATAGGTGTACGGACAGTTCTCCACAATGCATGCACATCCATTCATAACATTCATGACAGGTAATTTATATTGACATTGGCTTAGACTTGCATACATGACGGGACCTGTTACTTTAATTTTCACTTTAAGTTTAAAGTTTTCTTCTTTTGACATTGGATTTGACGATTTGACATTGGATTTACTAATTGATTTGACGTTATTTAAAGGAGTTTTCTTTTTTTTAATTGAATTGATCTTCAATGATTTACGATTTCACGTTTCCGCTATTTTGCCCGTAAAAGAGGCTTGTCACTAGTAGTAGTAGTAGTAGTAGTAGTAGTAGTAGTAGTAGTAGTAGTAGTAGTAGTAGTAGTAGTAGTAGTAGTAGTAGTAGTAGTAGTAGTAGTAGTAGTAGTAGTAGTAGTAGTAGTAGTAGTAGTAGTAGTAGTAGTAGTAGTAGTAGTAGTAGTAGTAGTAGTAGTAGTAGTAGTAGTAGTAGTAGTAGTAGTAGTAGTAGTAGTAGTAGTAGTAGTAGTAGTAGTAGTAGTAGTAGTAGTAGTAGTAGTAGTAGTAGTAGTAGTAGTAGTAGTAGTAGTAGTAGTAGTAGTAGTAGTAGTAGTAGTAGTAGTAGTAGTAGTAGTAGTAGTAGTAGTAGTAGTAGTAGTAGTAGTAGTAGTAGTAGTAGTAGTAGTAGTAGTAGTAGTAGTAGTAGTAGTAGTAGTAGTAGTAGTAGTAGTAGTAGTAGTAGTAGTAGTAGTAGTAGTAGTAGTAGTAGTAGTAGTAGTAGTAGTAGTAGTAGTAGTAGTAGTAGTAGTAGTAGTAGTAGTAGTAGTAGTAGTAGTAGTAGTAGTAGTAGTAGTAGTAGTAGTAGTAGTAGTAGTAGTAGTAGTAGTAGTAGTAGTAGTAGTAGTAGTAGTAGTAGTAGTAGTAGTAGTAGTAGTAGTAGTAGTAGTAGTAGTAGTAGTAGTAGTAGTAGTAGTAGTAGTAGTAGTAGTAGTAGTAGTAGTAGTAGTAGTAGTAGTAGTAGTAGTAGTAGTAGTAGTAGTAGTAGTAGTAGTAGTAGTAGTAGTAGTAGTAGTAGTAGTAGTAGTAGTAGTAGTAGTAGTAGTAGTAGTAGTAGTAGTAGTAGTAGTAGTAGTAGTAGTAGTAGTAGTAGTAGTAGTAGTAGTAGTAGTAGTAGTAGTAGTAGTAGTAGTAGTAGTAGTAGTAGTAGTAGTAGTAGTAGTAGTAGTAGTAGTAGTAGTAGTAGTAGTAGTAGTAGTAGTAGTAGTAGTAGTAGTAGTAGTAGTAGTAGTAGTAGTAGTAGTAGTAGTAGTAGTAGTAGTAGTAGTAGTAGTAGTAGTAGTAGTAGTAGTAGTAGTAGTAGTAGTAGTAGTAGTAGTAGTAGTAGTAGTAGTAGTAGTAGTAGTAGTAGTAGTAGTAGTAGTAGTAGTAGTAGTAGTAGTAGTAGTAGTAGTAGTAGTAGTAGTAGTAGTAGTAGTAGTAGTAGTAGTAGTAGTAGTAGTAGTAGTAGTAGTAGTAGTAGTAGTAGTAGTAGTAGTAGTAGTAGTAGTAGTAGTAGTAGTAGTAGTAGTAGTAGTAGTAGTAGTAGTAGTAGTAGTAGTAGTAGTAGTAGTAGTAGTAGTAGTAGTAGTAGTAGTAGTAGTAGTAGTAGTAGTAGTAGTAGTAGTAGTAGTAGTAGTAGTAGTAGTAGTAGTAGTAGTAGTAGTAGTAGTAGTAGTAGTAGTA